ACAGGATGGCCATCCTTGATTTCTAACGGACTCCAAGAATGAAAACAATGATAAAACTTTTTGAAGGACAATGACACCAGGTATAAGACGTGTAATGTGTTTGGTTATTTTATACAACACCAAATCTGCTTCATCCAAGGAGGCTCCACACCAAAACAGGTGAAAATCCCTTCAGCAATACTAATAGAGTAGTCTTTTTAATCATTCACTTGATTTTCCATTTTAAGCCCCATCCTGAGAGTGCCACATCCTTTATTATACAATATTAAATTCCTTTGCTCAGGGATGCATCGTTTAATGGTCAAAATCTCCAGCCATTCTGTACTAATTACAAGAAATCTTTTAAAAGGGAAAGTTAACAATAGACAGATGGTCAGGGCATCATATTGTGACTTAACTTTGCCCTTTGGGCCGTGTGGACTATAAAATGAAATTACCGGTAGAATATAAAGTATTTGTCTTTAAAAATGTTCAGCATGGTAGGACAAAGAAAGAAACAGGCAAACAATATTTAATATCATTTATTTCATGAATTAATGAATGTAGAAATGATTTATTACTTTGTTCTTTTGAATTAAAACAAAATATATTAGTCTCTACGTATACTTGAAAATGTAAAACAATTGTATCAGTCTGTATTGAAATCAAACTTGTGTTTTTAATTGTGGTTTGACATTTTACAGGTTACATGAAAATCAGAACACCTGGGATATTTCAGTTTTAAATTTCTTAACATGAGTCATTTTGATTATGTCTTGTGTATATTCTGAGTCAATTTATCACTTAATTAAAAATATATATATAGTATTCAAGTTCTAAAAAGGAACCAGTCATAGTCATCACCATCATTAACATCTGTACAAGATTATGAAACAATGATTTGGCACTGAATGTACCATTTCCAGAAATATACAGACCATAAAGATTAGAACATTCCAAAAATACAATTTTTTCAGTAATTAGCTCTTGGTCACCTCTTTTTGAACTTACAGTGCTCTCAATTTTAAGAACAAATCGCCAGAAATTTAGTATCAATGTTTTGAGTTAATTACAGAGCAATGTCAAACTAGTCATTTTCTGATTAATAATTATTCATTTGACTCTCGTATCTTTAAATTCTGTAGATACATAGGCAACACATAATATTAGAGAGAGAGAAAATAAAGAAACCATAACACCAATTCATTAAAAGTTTACAGTGAATTGTTTCATTTTTTTTTTTATTTCAAAAAGAATTAATTGTATTTGTTTCTTGCTTCTTCATCACTTCATGAATATGCTTAACTTATCACTTCATGAATATGCTAAACTTATCACTTCATGAATATGCTAAACTTATCACTTCATGAAGTTGGCAAATCTGATGAGATTTCGTGTACACTTGTTATTTTGAGTATTTCATTGAGACATGTCTATGAATTATCTATCAAGAAATACAGAATGAAATTAAAGCATTGATTTTTTTGTTAATTTATGAAAAATGAAAAAAAACCCACTTAAATCCTTAGGATTTTGTTTAAACGGAATGGGTAGACATTATGCCAACAGATCACACAAAATACAATACAGATCAACTGTATATAACTTTTTCTCCCAGTGTTAATAATGACAAAGAAGAATAACCTTACATCAATCTCATTACAGTTCACAATTCCAACAATCTCTACAGTACATTATTATGCATTTTATTTCAACAGCTAAACAACAATAATATATACCTTTAAAAATCATTTTAGAACAACTTTTCACATCCAAGAAAAAAAACCAGAATTTGAAAAAAATAGAATACAAAAGTAAGTTATTATATTTGCAGATATCACAATGTTTTAATAATGTACGCAATAGGTATGACAGAATATGTAAACCCTGTCTCTGTTCCATAATATGTATATGTTTACCTAAGTCCCAGCATATGTGCATATATATACTTGCCCACTTTTTAAAATTTTCATGAGGGAGAATCTGAATGCCCAAAATTAAAACATAAACAAAATGTGTGCAATATCCCCAAGAGACAAAATAACCCTTGAAATGCAATATTTTGGGTTGTTATTTTAGATGAAATCATTAGATCTTATAGAATATGGTAATAGTGTAGCAAATTCACAGGTTAAAAAAAAAAAAAATTGGGGGTAAAAAATCGGGAGGGTTGATAAGTATGTATGTGTACACAACATTTGTGATGAATATGTTTGCTCTTGTAGTTGGACCCTTGGCTCTCCAGCTTGATGCTCTACCACTGAGCTAAAGGGAAATTCCCTACACCTGACGCTTGTAAGGCAACCTAACCGATGCACATCTTTTTACACCATTCCCCTTTTTTCAAACACCAGCCCAGGTTCTTTGACTCCCCCGCCAAAGGTTTTCCTACCTTGAACAGGGAGGGTCAATGGCACCAGTTTGTAGTAGGACGAGGAATAGTTTTATGAAAGATTACTGGTAATTGAGAAACATCTGTCACACCTATCAATTCCTGCAGTTTACTATCAGTATTATATGAGATTACTGGTAATTGAGAAACATCTGTCACACCTATCAATTCCTGCAGTTTACTATCAGTATTATAAGAGATTACTGGTAATTGAGAAACATCTTTTACTCCTATCAATTCCTGCAGTTTACTATCAGTATTATAAGAGATTACTGGTAATTGAGAAACATCTTTTACTCCTATCAATTCCTGCAGTTTACTATCAGTATTATAAGAGATTACTGGTAATTGAGAAACATCTTTTACTCCTATCAATTCCTGCAGTTTACTATCAGTATTATAAGAGATTACTGGTAATTGAGAAACATCTTTTACTCCTATCAATTCCTGCAGTTTACTATCAGTATTATGAGAGATTACTGGTAATTGGATAAAGCCTTCACACCTATCCATCCCCTCAGTTTACTATCAGATTTTACACTGTATATATATATATTTATATAATTAGTGGCAACCGCTTACAGTCTCCATATGCATATTTAGATAACAACATATGCTGAGTGTTAAGTAAATTCACGAAACAAATTATTTTGGAAAAATTGCACATGTGACAGAAAAATATATTAAATAGCAACAATGTATATATATTTTTTACATATACAGATAAGTTAACAATATTCTTTTAACACAAATGGAGAAACAATACTGTAAAAGCAAAGAAAAATAGTCCACAGAACTTGAATCACAAAATGACATAAGCTCACTTGCCCTTCGGGCAGGTGTCAGAGCTAAAAACAGTGGAATAAAATGCTTTTAAACAAAATTATACAGNAGAAACATCTTTACTCCTATCAATTCCTGCAGTTTATATCAGTATTATGAGAGATTACTGGTAATTGAGAAACATCTTTTACTCCTATCAATTCCTGCAGTTTACTATCAGTATTATGAGAGATTACTGGTAATTGGATAAAGCCTTCACACCTATCCATCCCCTCAGTTTACTATCAGATTTTACACTGTATATATATATATTTATATAATTAGTGGCAACCGCTTACAGTCTCCATATGCATATTTAGATAACAACATATGCTGAGTGTTAAGTAAATTCACGAAACAAATTATTTTGGAAAAATTGCACATGTGACAGAAAAATATATTAAATAGCAACAATGTATATATATTTTTTACATATACAGATAGTTAACAATATTCTTTTACCACAATTGGAGAAACAATACTGTAAAAGCAAAGAAAAATAGTCCACAGAACTTGAATCACAAAATGACATAAGCTCACTTGCCCTTCGGGCAGGTGTCAGAGCTAAAAACAGTGGAATAAAATGCTTTTAAACAAAATTATACAGATTTGTTAGTATCATGTATAAAACTGCATGATACTGCACCAGTATAAAAGGGACCTTGTAAATATAATCTGTGTAGCCAGAGAAAATCTCTCCATTATTTCTGGGTACTTATCAAGACATAATACACGTACATGTTTAATTTAGGTACACAACAAAGAATTTATTCTCAACGAATTCATTACATGAGAAAAGTATTTTGAGATCTGGAATATTTAAAGTAAGGGTTGCACTCACAGAGTGATAACTCTTACAAAATCACTTGTGTGTTTTGATTCTGAAGACATGTTGAAGCATCTTTCTAACACTGAATGAGAATGAACGTAAACAAAATGGACAGATGGAGAAATACAAAAGAAATGTTCAAGAAAAAACATTAAAGGAAATGTACCTTGTAAAATCAAATGTGCGTGCAAACCTTTATAGACATGCACATTATTTACTTGTGGGTTCTGATCCAGTTATTTTTCTTTTTTCGATTTCTCTATCTCCTTCACATGAAAGTGTTTTAGACTATAAAAGATGTCATATTATAAATATACTGCACAACCATGATACTTCAATTCTTTGTTTTTCTTTTTTGTGAGAAACCATTGCTCCAATAATGGAATGTCAATATATTTACAGAAATTTACAGAAAACACAATGTTAGCAACAGAAATGACAAACGATATTTTTTCACATTTTCATTTTTAAGCTGTATTTAATACAAGCTAATTACAATGTTAATAAACTTGTAATAAGATGCAGTAAAACCTCCATATAATGCCCCTCGTTCCATTTGCCACCTCGCTTACTGCCAACATATTTAAAAGTCCTTTTTTCCCACTTCTTAAGAATTCCTTCATAATTTTCGTTCAATTTATCGCCAAACCCCTTTATAGCGCCAAAATTACCTGGGCTACATTCGTGTATCCGGTTGAAACGGTTGGACCTGTAATGAAAATGACAGGTGCAGATTTGGACCGAGGCTGACCTCAGGAAAATTTGGTACGTGTAGATTTAGGGGTCCAGACGTACCTGACCGGAACTAAAATGCTGATTATTGCCAATTTGCGTTATTTCTTTCTTAAACAATGTCAAGTCACATGTAATTTTTAAGATACGTTATGTAATTTAGTGGACGCGTGAGAGAAGGGCATAATATTCTTGATATATTGTTGTTTTTTATTCTCCGAAACTGTGGATTTTTAGCTCTGCTTATAGAACGGTCCAAGTGTGTTCGTTTATCGTGGAAAATTTCTGCGCCACACGTACTGTTTCAACCAAGATACACGAATGTAGCCCTGGTACCCTGGTCAAATGGTGGCAGTATAATGAGGTTTTACTGTATTGTATCTTTCATAATTTCTCATTTATGAAATATAATTGTCAGTAAATATTTCTAAAATCCAAGTATCATTACACTACATTTATACATCTGAATAAATCTACACACATCACTGAACAAACATCCTACAAACAGCCACAATATCAAACTTTCACTAGCATAGCCCTTCATCAATGAGGTCGTTGGACGAACCGCAGGACGAAATAGCCAGCTATTCTGAATGCGATGATGAAGATGAAGAGGGGCAGTAGATACTGCCAAAATGGCCAGTCTATCTCGAAGAACTGCAGCACTTCGTGTGACGGAATTGTTGTGGCATTTTGGTGAAGGCAGCTGGAGAATTGTGATACAGATATGTTGGTACTGGAGGCACATCTGCATTAAAAATATTTTCACAAAATGAAAATAAATGTTTAGTCATAGTAGAAATTTTATACTTCAGAATGGAGGGTTCCAAACTTAGAACAAAAAGCCTGTAGCAGATTCAGTATTTTTTTTAAAGGGGGGTTTGGGGAGGGCAACCCAAACTTCAAAACATATTCATTTTACATAGTTACAAATACTTCTATTTGGTAAATTTGTTTGACACAATAAAACTGAATAACAAAATATTACCCAAGAATTCCTAGGTTGGGTAGCAATTTTTTTTAATCATATATACAAATCTGAACAAATACCATCAGATTTTTGCAAATTCTAAACCAGGTAAGAAATATTTGAGTTTTGAATATAAATGCAAAAATAAATTTTAAAAACAAGAAATATCTTAATGGTAGATAAACAGCAGAGAGCTCAGGTACAGTTTATTTTGTTACAAGTCTTAAACAGATGTGAACCCATCAAGAAATATTGTTTCAACATTATCATTTAGTTATACAACAGAGTTTCCTAGTCCAAGGGAAGTAACTCAAGTCATTTTTGATATCATATCCTCGAGTATATATCATGCCATCTCAAATCAATCTAATTAAAATCAGATTCTAATGTAAGAGTATCGTAACAGGAATTAGAATATGATTTTAATTAGATTGTCTCAAATGAAAAGTGAAAACTGAAATTATGTGGAACCATTGTTATTCATTAAACAGCAAGAGATTAAATACAAACTGCATTCCTTATGAAAAATGCAATGCACAAGATACGGATGTAATGTTTCGTGCTTTCATGTGAAACATTTAAACTGTTTAAGCCCGTTGTCATTTTGAGAAACATTGCATTTCTACAGGGAAGCAACCATTTAGCATTCATATCTAAATCCAAATTTGTATTTTTTAGAAACTATATTACTTTCCAAAAAAAACCAAAAAAAAAACCAGCATCCAGTCGGCACTGTACCGGTCAAATGAAACATTTAATTCCAATAAACTATCTTGAACAGCTCTGCCAAAAAATAAATATCAATAATTGAATTCATATAAAATTTCTGTTTTGTTAACACCTGTATAGTTATATTTATGGGGATGGTTGGGCCAAAACTAACTTAAATTATCAACGGATCATAAAAAAATACAACTGTTCATGTGTCAGAGTGTAACAGTAGGAGAAATTACCGTAAATACAGGAATTACTTACAAAACTGGCGGTGCGTCCGTGAATTCTAATGACATCAGACAATGGAAAGTATAGTAGAGAAAAGATATGTATTTCAACCAGGACAGCCAGAACGGTAGATGTCTGGTATAGAAACCCCCTAAAACAGGAAAGTTCAACATAAATAACTTAAGTTATTCACAAAATGTGTTTAATACTTCAGATTTTCCGTTCGTTTAAAGATCATTTGGAACATTTCATTTGCTAATTTGTAATGTCTGAAGCAGTTTTATTATTTGTTTTGAGTTGAAATTTATTTTGTAAATTTCCCTTAGATTTTTTTAAACAAAGCTATGTTATACCCTATTTAAATTAATAACCACAATGTGTTCTTACAAAAAAATTGTGGTAAAGTAAGCTCAAATTTGAAGTACAGGAGCACGGCACAAACTCAAATCCAATGGTCTATACATTATATACTTTAATGCTGGGAATTTGTGCAATCTCTCTGTGATTTAAAATAACTGTCAATCACTCCTTTCATTCATCAACTACTGGTAACTTTGAATAGACTGTTTCTTCATTTTATAGCTAGGGGTACAGAGTTTCGGTAGGAGGAAGAATGACTTTTCCAGACTTATCGTCTTACCTAATAACATGGTGGTCATTATACACACTGTAGCTATGGTCATTGCTCTTCTGATGTCCATACACGCTATACCAAGGAAAAGGCCTATACTCTGTAATAAATAGTTATACAAGAAATAAATTAATATTGTACTTCAGTTCAGGATAAAACATATCTTTTTTTTTTATAAAAACAGATGTTTGAGCTGGAGATCATATATTTATGTAACAGAGGTCATTTATTTGTTTAATGCCTCTGGTAGGAGTCGAACCCGGAACCTCTAGTTTACAAGTCTTACACGTGCACTCTACCAATTGAGCTAAAGAGAAATTCTCCCTAGCCGAGTTGGTAGGAAGTGGCTAGTATTTTACCAGGGTGACATATAATATAGCAGACAACTGTGTTCTTTGCAAAAAACAGTACACACAGACATTCAGAAATTTAATCTAACAATATGGAAAGTGTCTGGTTTTCCTGAAGGTAATGCAGTGTATATGTATAGAAACATTTTCTTTTTCATATTTCTTACATATATCATAAAATGTATATATATATCACTGTATACAGAGGTATTTTCGGAGAGTTAATTTTAATTTATAGAGTTTAGTAAATCCTTGAACTTCAACGAAAACTTTAACCTGTATCATGTAAACTATTGTATTTTCCACATCAATGCCAAAATTAACAAAGCTATATGCAGAATTATCTCCCCTCTTGCAAGAAAAGGGATGCAGACAATTTTTTTTCAAATGATTGTGTGATACTTTCTCTTTATTTTCTACATACCTGCCCCGCTATAGAATGAATGAAGAGTGTGCCGAGGGTGGCGAAGTATGCCGAGACCCCGTTTAGTCCGACGGACCAGTACACTATCGTCCCAAACACGAGGGGCTGGGCAAGAATTAGAGGTAGTTCACTGGTCATCTTGGCTAAGTAATAGGCCGACACCCGGTACCAACCCGAGGCTCTCTCCTTGTTGATCACCATACGCTCTGATGGAACTGAAATAAAGATATAGTAAATTCTGTAAAGACGGGGCCAATATATGGATGTATACACATACAATAAATGTGTACAGGGACTGAATACGTCAACACTTTCTATCAAATACTAGTCTTGCAGTTTGAAATGATCGACTGTTACCACAACCCATGTTCAAATTGTTATCTCAGTAAGTGCCAATTTTCTATACACTCTGGGTGATGATTATGGTAAATATGGTATGTGACTTCTGTGTATATGTACAAAGACAGATGGCATAAACTTTCTTGCAGAGACATTTTTACTTGATTAAAGAATGCAAGTAAGTTTCATTCTCATTGTAACATGCGGGCGGTCACCCTTCCAACTAATGATCAAGCTTGACGTTGTTGAACTAGTGAGCGGGTCCCCAGATTATACCACATGACTGGAAAGACTGGCTTGCCAGTAAGGCAGTATTTTCCCCTCAACTTCCTTAGCTGTTGCATCATTTACCATGAATTCTTCTGCCATGCAATACCAATCTTGACAGTCTAGTAAGAAGTCTCTGAACTATTAATATCTCCTACCATCTGAGGCATAAAAGTGTCTGTATCCACAGGGGCGTGCCACAGATCCCAAACCCCTCGATCTGTGTAAACACAGGGGCGTGCCACAGATCCCAAACCCCTCGATCTGTGTATATACATAATACACATATATACGGGCCGTGGGGTTTGGGATCTGTGCCACGCCCCTGTGTCTGTGTCTGTATCCACAGGGGCGTGGCACAGATCCCAAACCCCTCGATCTGTGTAAACACAGGGGCGTGCCACAGATCCCAAACCCCTCGATCTGTGTATATACATAATACANACGAGAGCGGAGAAGAGTCAAAATAACATCAATGTCATTACTTTTGAGCCTATTAACCCTTTCACCCCTAGTTAACTTTAGTGGAATCTACCATCCATTTATTGGAATGAGTCCATCATGCGGTCTAAGGTGGTGAAAGGGTTAAATTGCACTTGCAGCCGAAATATGAATATATTGTATTGAGGTAGTATAAAATTAGGTACCATGCATGCAATAGATATTACTGCTTGTAAAATGTACTCACAGGACGTGACGGTATCAAACAGGGGAGTGAATCCGTAGTTCATGGACATGAAAAATATCTGCAATAAATACCAAGGCAGATTTATAAACACTGTTACAACTCATAACCAACGAAATTCAAGAATGGCAACTTTTCTAATTAACGCAGATCATGAACAAATGAAACTTAAATGTGTGTTACACATTCACTGTATATACTGTAACAAATGTATACTATGTTGATACCAGTAACATTGATTTGGGTTTGACCAAACGTTTATTATTATTAGTTATGGACTATTGTCGAGGTAGATACGTTGTTATATAGACCTGATAGAGTGATATAAACCGAGGACACAGTCCGAGGTCGATATTACTCTAACAGGTCTATATAATAACAAACTGACTGAGACAAAAGTCTTTAATTTTTATATCACATATAACATGTCTTTAGATAAGATGAGATATTAGATATCCAAATAGCGAGAATCAAGGGGTGGTTTTCGGAACGAAATATTCAGATCTAAATATAGAAACATGATGTCGACATGGTCATGTGCAAGATAACAATAGAAACATGGGGTCGATATTCTACATTCAGCGATTCTGAGACCAAGGATTAGTCAATTAGAATCAAGAAAACCCAGATCATACATTATAAATGTCAATTTAATTCTTCACACTGCGCTTCACATAATGTTGACCAAATCATCCAAATGACAAAAAAAATAAAAAATGAAATAATTGAGATACATGTAAAATCATTTTAAGTGAAAATTGAGAATTAAATACTTTTAATACATAGGTTACGGTTTAAGCAGTATGCAAAGTCTGACAATTAGTTAATACCTATCAATCACTATCTAACATTCTAATAAATAATTTCTGTGTTATCAGAGTGGGTAGTTATAAGGTTTCAAGGTTGAAAAGGATGACCTACCACCCCCATCCGGTCTCGTAGAGTGGCTTCTGTCCTGGGAAGCTGGAACCAGATCAAACTGACCAGGATCGTCATGGTGACGGCCTCAATGACTTTGAACCTGTTGAAGATTTGTGTTTTGGACTGGCGGAAAGTACGAATCGTGAGATTTGTGTACTGGGTGAGAAAACCAGTCGGCCATTTTCGTTTCTTGTCGATCACGGTTTCCATGGCACCGTTGTCAATTTCATCTAGTTCCATCAAACTCATGTGGATACTCCCTGGATCTGACAGATTCAAGAAAATTGCATGTAATTTTATTTATTTTTTAATTTTAATGGATATCCATGAAACTTCATTCACAAATGTTAAATGAATCTTTCATACGAGTGTGGTTCAATGCCTTGAACAAACCAGTTTAAGCGAGGGGGATCCTATATGTCGTTTCTGAGGTATAAGTTTCCGCAACAAAAGTCACACAATTTAGAAGTTATATAGAATATTAGAAAGGCATGTAGTGACTGTATACGTTATAAAGGTAAATCAGTAACAAGCCAACTTCGTCGCAGTTTAAGATTGGTAGATTTTGAAAGAAATGGCTGGAATTTCACATCCTTCATAAAATGGATATACCTATTGACTGGTAGCTGTTTGTTAGGAACCATACACCATTGTTTTAGCATTGTTGTGACAGCTGTAATAAGATTCTCCTCTTTGTTTACCAGATGTGCTATATAACACAACCCCCTCCCTCTCATCACGTAGTATGTGTATCTTAAACCTGTTCCAATCCAAGAGAAAAAAGTACTAGTACCTAGGCTAGAAAACAATGTATTGTTGCAATGCCTTTAGGTTGTTAAGACTTTTCTTTAAAATCAAAGTCCTCACACAGTATGACGTACCTTCCTCATCATTTGCAGCCTCTTTTGGTTTTGACCGAAATCTTTTGATGATGTTGATTTTGTCGTAGAAGCGTTTGCTTTTATCAGCGTCGTCCTTCAAGACAGAGCTAGGGACATTCTCTATCTTTCGGCCATTTTGGCTTCCCCTTAGCATCGTGGGCCACTCATTCTTCTTCCTGAAATAAAAAGTTTAAAACATGTGTAATGAGAATCTATTCAGTTTTTATTTCATCTTGTTTCTCATCATGCCTAATTGTCAACATTATCCAGCTAGAGATGTTTAACCGTTTCAACCCTAATTGTCAACATTATCCAGCTGGAGATGTTTAACCATTTCAACCCTATGTAACTTTAGTAGACTCTGTCATGCATTGATCTGGATGAGTCCATTATGGTCTATAGTGGTAAAAGGGTTAATCTAATGGTGGACATCACATTCTCTTACCCTGGACAGGAATATTCACACTTTTCATGTTGCGAGTTATCCTGCTCTCACCGTAGGTCAAGATGAAGGGTTCCCCAGTCAACACAAATGTATGACATCATACCGACAATACAATGACATTATGTCAATAATGCATTGAGCTTTTAATGTCAACTTTCCATCTGACATATATGACAGGGTCAACAGGGTTAGTGAGAAAAAGAATCTTTCACCCCATTGATTTGGGATTGGAAAGATTTTGAAGTTGCCAACATTTGACTGGACAAATGTTGGCAGTATAACAAGGTCTCACTGTATAACAATACAAAACCAGTGAGTTTACGTACAGTAGTAATATCTATACCTTTGGTCATAGGCTGCATCCACTATTCTCTTCCTTGTCTTTTCATCTTCTTTCAGTTTTTCCACTGAAAAATTTGTAAAATATGACACATTCAAAAAATACATTTCATCAACCAGTATTTTCATTGGTCAAGCCTTAACTGTGGTATTACCCAGTACTCGTTTGAGAAGTCCTTTTAATTTGAATTATCAACAAATTTTATCCTCCTTTTGAATATTTTCTTTCTTTGTACATATTTGTATGTATATAAATAATGCTTATTATTTTGTTATATATTCTCTTCATAATTCCCATTTTTATCTTATCAAATAAATTCACAATTTTTTTTTCAATTTTCACCCCAAAACACACAGATCCCTCCCTTTTATACTTTCTAGAAATTGACATCTAAAAATGGCTACGATAAAATCAGACACATTCAACTGTAGGTGAAGTAAAAATAATGAAAGTATATGATAATCTTTCAGACTTTTTACACCTTAATATTACAGAAAGCCCATGCTTAATATAAGCCTATCCCTCTGACATTTTACAGACAAGGCTAATATCAGGAATACCAAGCAAGCAGATAAAATTAAGAAATATAGCTTACAGACAAAATCGGCCGGATTATAATGTTGCGACATCTCCATGCCAACCGAGCCGAAGAATTCCACCACCTTGTCTATATCCCCGTAGTAAGCCGACTAAAAGTTAAATAAAAATCAAACATCTGTATAATTATTCGATCGAAACAAAAGATAATATTCCAAATTTTCTTAGCCTAGATTAGTAAACTGACTTTTTAGTATTTGTAGTTTCCTAACAATGTTTCAGGTTTTTTAATCATTTTTCATTTACAGTGTTATTGAAAAAGTCCATCGGGGATATGCTGAAAATCGTTGATTCTATGTAAATCTACTTATATTTCTCCACTGAAAATACTACTTAGGATTTGAAAGTATGAAATGTTTAGTCTTGTTAAATCAATATCTGACATATATTTATCTCAATTTTTAATCTTTTGGTAAGTGAATAATCTATTTTCTGTGATATTACAAATTTCTGTGTGCTCAGATATTGGCATAAAATAAAATAAGCCCCTGGTATGTAAACAGATCTAAATTACCATAAAATGATCGCTGACATTTTTTTTTTTTTTTTTTTTTACATAATTCAGAAATATTTGAAGTTAACACCAGAACAGGTATGGTAAACAAAGATTAGTACTGGCATTTAAGGCAGACGTTCCAGATAGGTTAGTTCACATACACCAGGGGGCGCTGTGTTAGGAAAGCAGTGTTAAAGGTTGCTATGGAGATCATGCAAGGGCCACAACACAGGACTCTACACTGAAAATGCAACAAAAAATATTACAAAATGGACAAAAATAAATAAATAACAAACATGTACATGAAATTATAAATTAAAGGGTTCAATAAGATAAGCTCACCTGGATATAAAGTTGTTTCGTAACCAGATTCTAACTGCTTTTTAATGTAAAATATTGACATTAAATCTTTTTCCTGGACAATTATTATTGCAATCATAATAAAGAATTAATTCACAAAGACTTAAGGACATGGAAAATATCTGGATAAAACTGACTTAATTCTGAGCCTTCACTGAAAATATATTGATAAAGCTATCTCAACTCTGAACCTACACTGAAAATATCTTGATTAAGCTGAATCAGCTCTGAGCCTACACTGAAAATATCTGGATAAAGCATATTATAAGCAATTGAGGCACGGTAGTCAAGTGGTAGGACGCCGGGCTCGAGACCGAAGGGTTGCGTCTTCGAGTCACGGCACAGCACTGTGTTGTATCTTTGAGCAAGATACTTTACTCCGTTTGTTTCAGTCTACTCAGCTGTAAATGAGTACGTGGCTGGGCAGTGCTAGAACTGTTGAATGCTAACTGTTAGCCCCAAAATGGCAGCTCCGGCTGTATATACTCCCCAGGGAGTTGAGAAAAGTATTGGCTGGTTGCAAAGGCCCTATAACCACGGATAATAATTTGTGAACCGCTTTGAGACGACCTACGAACTAAGTTGTGATAAAGCGGTATATAGGAACCTCAAATTATAATATTATAGCCAGGTGAGCAACACTAAAACTATGATAAATGAAAGTCAATTACAAATGTGAAAAAATAATATCATCTACCATCGACATGCAAGTGAAATATTAATCAGCTCATTCAGGTCAGGCAAGTTAATAAATACAATAATTAAATGAAAAATGAAAACAATTCACAAAATAAACACAACATAAAAAGCAACAACAGCAAAATTAACAAAATTAAATTAAAAAGCATTACATAAAATAACGAAAATAGAACAAGATGCAGAAAATATATCCTGAAAGATTACTTTCAAATCGAGGGTCAACAGTACTTTCAGAAGAAAACTTCCAAACAAGTTGGAACCAATAACTTAAAGCCAAATTAAGATTTTTTATAAACATAATAACAATATTTTTAACTATAGGGCCCTCACAGGGTTTCTTCAAGCAGAAACCTGGGTGGCTTATATATATCCAGTACTCATTGTATATCACAGCTTTCAACTTGATAAACTAATCAATTCAATTCTCAAAACGTGCAATATTGCATTGACTTTTCCATTATTTCCTGCAATAATTTATACCAAATATTCATTATATGTTATTATAATTCGATATGATTGACACAAAAAAATTGTGAAAAAATTATACTTTACAAATTAGTGCATGTCTAGACACACATTTAACTACCTTTATGAAAGATATATAGTCCTGAATGGTCTCCAATGTTTAAATGTATGATTGTGATACAAACAATTTACATGTATATCAGTAAGCTATATATTCCATCTTTGCATATTGCAGAGTTATCTTCTATTGTGAGCAGGTATTGATTTTTACGTCATTGGTTTGTGTGAGAAAATTACGTCGTTTTCTCAAAAACTGATGACGTTACTCTCACAAACAAATGACGCAACAATCAATACCTGCTCACAAGAGCAGATAACTCTGCAATAAGAAAAGACGGAATAACTAGTTAATCACATGTTAATTTGGAAGCAACAAAAGCTTAAACAACACTTGGGTGATTTTCAGAAAAGCAACAAGGGGTTATATTTACGAGCTGTTTTATAGATTGTTAGTATCGACAGTGAAATTAGTAAACATGTTAGTTAAAACTGATGATGATAGGTGATCAGCTGGTATACCAGTCATGCATGAACTACTTCATTTTCTGCCATGAGCAATAGAATATCTAACTAGTGAAGTTAGTATTAGATTAATTATCGGTAAATAAGATCCTTTCTTACTTTTATTTTTGACATGAACAAACACAAAAAAAAGCCCATTTAAATTAAAGCTGGATTGATTCAGCAAGACTTACCTCCCCTTCTGACATGAGCAATAGACTATCAAACTGGTAGAAGATGAAGCTGGATGGTTGGTGTATTGTGGCCACAACCGTTTTGTTGTGCTGTCTGGCATACGTTTTGAGGGTCTGCACTAGACTGAACGCTGTACTGTAGTCCAGACCAGAGGTAGGTTCCTGTAACAGCAATCACAACATTGTATCAGCCTATTAAATTTACCGTATTTATCCAGCAATAAGCCCATGCCTGCTAATAAGCCCATCCATGTCAAATACAGCTCAGTAGACATGCTAACAAATGCTACTGCATTGTACTGCAATAATACCACCCCCTACATTGAGCCAGAGTTCTTGTTTTGTCCTCCTTGGCTTATAACAGAATAAATACAGTGATACAACCATTTCTAAACATTTTCTTGAGGTTGGTAAGTATTAATTATGAAAAGTTTCTTGATACACAACCAGTAATTGTTTCTATGTGACGTTTCGATGACAAGTATGGTATGTTCTGTCACCTTCATTAGAAAAAAACTGTCTGATGAAGGTGACAGAGTACACACCGTACTAGTCATCAAAACAATTACTGGTTGTGTAACAAGAAAGTTTTCATAAGACTTAGTGATACAACCAGTTTGAATATGCCCTGGAATAACATTCCAGTAAGAATCTAATAGTTTTGTACAGCCAAGTATATATTAATTCTTAGATGTAATTTTATGGCTTTATTTTTTGACACAATTCAATTGATGAATTCAATATTTTATAATATGGGAATTGTGTAGAAATGATTTATTATGTCCTGTTTGGCCTTATATTAATGGACATAGTTTCGAACCTAAATGGAAGTCAGACTCCCAACACTTACATCAAGATATATCATTAGAGGATCTGTGATCAGTTCACAAGCGATATTTGCCCGCTTTTTCTCTCCTCCAGACAGGCCTCTCGTCCACATGTCGCCCATAACTGTTGACCAAAATAATACACTGAAAATCATCTTGTTATTATAGACTTTCAGAGTTGGAAACTCTACATGTTGTTATGGACAAGGATTTTAAATCCTTTTTATAGCATTTATTACGTATGTCTGTGGGTGATCGGATGATCAGGTGATCAAATTTTAAATCTCCAACCTTTCTAGAAGAAAACAATCCCGATGGAGATTGTGTTATATTTAGAGACATCAATATCATTCGTCCGGTAAGTTTTTCTTGTTATGAATGGAAAAATCACCAGGACCGATATTCTGTGTACTATAAGCCTCCTTTAGCAGCATGCCTAAGTCTCCGAGTCAATGCATAGAGAGATATTTTATATAAAGAAGGTCAGAGACAGCTACAAAGTGTGCTTACGTCAGAAGTGATTAAAAGGTTGAGGCAGTACATGTATATATATGTACATAATAGATATCAGGATTACAACAGACAGATGTAATGTATCCAACAAGCATTGTTCTTATACCAGAGCAGAATTATGCTTGCTACACTCAAACATTTCCACAGTAATGTCGATCAAATGATGGAAGTGACAGAAAAGTGAGATTTCTATTTAAATGTCATCAATATTATAAATGAAAAGCAATAGTGAGGGGGGGGGGTGATATTCAAATAACATTATAAATTCATTGTCAATTAACTGTTCTGCCTTCACCTTTTACTGTAAAGCATAAATATAAGTGACTTCACTGTTTCCAAAATGTCTGTTAAAAAAGTGTCTCCTTCAGTTAATATGATTTATGTCCTTAACCCTTTCACCCCTATGTAACTTTAGTAGACTCTACCATGCATTGTTGATCCAGATGAGTCTATTTTGATTTACAGTGGTGAAAGGGCTAATCTCCCTACTGCAGACATAACACTGACACTGAAGAATTTCACAAACGGTAATTTCCCCTTCATTTCAATTTCCCTTGGTAAAACTGGGCCACAGAATTAGGGCTGAACAGGTAGCTCAATGGGTCCCGAGTGATTCTGTTGTGATCGGAGGTCCAGAGTTTGAATCCTGGTTTTGCCCTGTTAACATTGCATTACCCTCAGAATACTTGTAATATTTTTGGTTTATTTCAGCTTTATTATCTTTTCATAAAAGTTTCGCAAGAAATGTTTTTTGGTTCAGAAAGATTTATAATTATTCTATAGTCATATTGGTAAAAACATTTCAAAATATAAAGTCATGTAGTTACAGTTTTGGCAGTGGTATGGAGATCCTTCGGGATAATTTCATTTAAACAGATCGACAAATGTGGGTGCTATATATTACTGTTATACAGCTCTGAAGTATAGTTCCTCATTTCTAATTGGACAGTGTATTTGTAGGGTACTCCAACTTACTTGTTTCCAGGCACTTGGTAAGGTCAAGGGCATCGACGATTTCATTGACCTTTTCCAGTTTCTCTTTCCGTGACATGGAATCGGGTAACCTGACCATGGCTGCAAACTGAAAATATAAATGTAGGCAGGGACGTGAATGCAAGTCACCAATTTCAGCCAATCAGTGGACAGTATTTCTGTGTAAAGGCTATCCAAGCGACAGTTCCCAGAGTAAATATGCAGTGTATTTTTCAAAATAATATGAAGTTATAGAAGGATACCTAACTAAGAATGAGATTATATTCAATGCTTATTTGCTTATTGAGTGAACTTGAGCCTGTGGTAAAAGAGTTTATTTGCTTGCTTTTTTTTTTTAATATTATTCCCGGTATGTGGCGCATGTCTCGAAATCACGTTTATGAATATCTGAGCACATTAACTTAAGTAATACCAACAGCTTGCGGCTACCGCCTTAGCTAAAAAATCAGTAATTTTGGTTTTATATTTTAGTTTCTGTTGTTTTTCGCTAATGTAACATAAAGTTATTCATGATACTGAGACTTCAAAATCATGTATTAAGTCAACAACAATGAAGGACAAAGATCATACCTGGTACTGATCATGACACTGAAGACCAATATCATTTATTGAGATGACTGACCTTTTTCAAACCAATTATGAAGAGTTAATGTAAAACACTTGTCGATTGTAATACAGATAACTCCATCTTCTGGTTTTTTAATGATGCTCCAGGGTTTGTTAATTTTTGAAATTGAACACTCTTACTACTGTACAAGTACACCGGGAAATTTCTCCCCGTCAAACTTTCGCCTTACCCTCGTAAAATCCATATTCTCTCAATGTTAATATCATCTTTCATGTTTGATTAATGTTCATTATGTTGTTTACTAATTTTCTCCGTAATGATAAATTTGCCTTCATTACGGAGGGCAAACAGAACGGAGGTTTATCATAAGAACAACTTCATTTTTTGGTAGTACAGGCTGAGTTGGAAAGAACCGAATTTCTGGAGCCACGCTCACTCAAGTCATGCCTAATACTTTAACCCTTTAACCCCTATATAACTTTAGTAAACTCGACTCTGCATTAATTTGGATGAGTCCATTATGGTCTACAGTGGTGAAAGGGTTAAAATGTGGAAAATTCCACCAAATCAAACATATCATCCCTTCACTAGCAAAATCTCATATCAATTGTGCCCAGTGTTTAATTCGCCTTCATTAATATAAAGGAATGTGAAAAGTTTCAAATTGACAGTAACTCTTCCATTATTTGATGTAAGTGTGGAGGATTCTTTGCACTTAAATTGTCAGCTCAATGTCTGCAATAAAATCAGAATTTAATGTTTTGAAAGGAGCAAAACAAAGTTTACTCACCGTCAATGTCTCCTTTAAAGTGAGGTTGGGGAAGAAGACATCTTGCTGGAGAACGTAACACACCTTCCGTTTGAGTGATTTATTTATCTTACTTCCATTCAGAGTGATCTCCCCTGATGAAAGAGGGTTTCTGCCCGCTAGAGTGTTAAGTAAAGTCGTCTTTCCCGCCCCTAGAAATGTGAAACAAGCTTGAATGAGCAGAATGTCTCAAAAGGCATGAAGCCTGAGTACAAACAAAATCGTACAAGCAGAATTCAAAATAAAATATTTGACGGAATGTCGATAGATGTTTCCAATGAAAGAACAAAAAGTTAGCTCATTACATTCCCATAATGTAACATGACGTCATTTAGAATAAGCAACAGATATGTTGGAAGGCTTCGATTTCGAGATCTAGGAAATATATCATTATTACCATACAATTAACCCTTTTAACCGTATGTAACTTTTGGAGACTCTACCATTCATTGATCTGGATGAGTCTATTATGGTCTACAGTGGTGAAAGGGTTAAGAACCATTTTCAATCAAAGCAACAAACGAAGGTCAGTAGGGCCATATAATGTAGTTTTATCAGTAATGTATCCCTGTTCTATTTTTAGTATCAGTGACTTAATTGATGATTGGCCATCTTGTATTTTCAAGGATGCCACTTAATATGGCATTTTTTTTAATGAAGGATATCTGGGGCCAGCAAATATTATTTACAACCGAAATGAACACAGGTGGGTTAGAAACGGCATTACAGATGCTTCTTAATCCCTGTTGCGCACATTTGATATACCAGGGTATCTCCATGAAAAATTTCAGAAATTCTAGACTTCTGGGTTCTGAGATAATCTTCTGAAACAAGAGTGTTGATGGACAGACAAACAGACAGGTGGACACCATGATTAGCATATGGCACCTATAAAGCAGGCCGTAATCATAACCCTATTCAACTTGTTATGTATATTACTGCTCTTCGTGATCATGGGACAGACATATAACCACATGTGCAGATTCAGGTTTCCATTTGATATCTGAGATCCTGTATTCTAGAGATAATTCATTTTATAGTAATTTATTTTAAACTGTTAATACAGTCAACAGAGAGGCAGATACCGCTGTTAGAGTATGACCTCATTTTTTTCAATTTTGGTCCTTAACCCATTCACCCCTAAAGTCACAATTGAACCTTACCAAATCAATGACAGGGGCAAGTCCAGTTTAAATATGTAGGGGTGAATGAGTTAAAAAACATGAGTCAACAACATTAAATTTTGCAGATACATCTAGATGAAATATGGTTTTGGTATATGGTTTTCATTTTTGGCAGAATTCCGCATGAGGACAGCAGAACTATCACAGTAAACAATAAACAGGTTCCACTGTACAGTGTCATGTTATGTAAAACTATCACAGTAAACAGTTAACAGGTTCCACTGTACAGTGTCATGTTATGTAGAACTATCACAGTAGTAAACAGGTTCCACTGTACAGTGTCATGTTATGTAATTACACAAACTGACCACTTGGTCCCATGATGGCCAGAAGTTGACCAGCCTTGACCATTCCGCTGACATCTTTCAGGACTTCTTTTGGGCCAATGTGAGCGGTGACGTCCCGGAACACGAGCTCCAGGCCACGGCCTCCATTGGTTTTAGTCCCGGGTTTACTGGACATGTCGCTATTACTCAGTGTCATTCTCTGTGATACATTTCAGGTTGTTGTCGTTATCGCATATCTGAAAGTAAATATATTTATTGTGAGTTTTTATTTCAAAAGAATATTGATTCAGCATGTGACATACAGTAAAACCTACACACAGTAGCCCCTTGTTTCATTTACCCACTCATTTTCCTGTCTCGTTCCCACCCATCACAATTCATTGTTATGACTCCAAGTCTTTATCAACTTCATTTCTAAACAGACTTACATAAGTTTTTTGCAAAGTTTAAATATGAGAATACTTCATATGAATTTGAAATTCAGCAGCCAAAGGTCAATGCCAAGGTCAGTGTTGCTATTTATAGTTCAACATTTTCTATTTTATCAACAGATTCATTCATTCTCATCAGTTTATTGTTCTCATAAGTTTATGGACTCAATTGTCTTACTGACATTTTGTAGTATTTCATTTATACATCAAATCTTCCTCAGTATTTTTCCAAACCACTTTGTTACATGAATTGCAAATTTTCTGAAATGACATTGGCTAAAAACTTCCATTGGTGACTGAGTTATAATGTAAATGATGACAGATAGCAAGGTTTTACTGTACTTGCGTTGGCTGTCATACACAGTATATCACTTTATGTTACAAGTACTCTATAGATGCACATGTGCGCACACACATAAAATGTCACATATGGGCCAGGGTATGCTAAACAAGGACCGTTGATCTGATTATTGATAGAAACCTCGGAGTATTGTCGTTGTAATAAATTCCAATAAACCTGCAACTTCATAAAAAGCAATTCATAAATACATACAGCCGAATCTGCTCAAGTGACCATCTGCATTAAATGACCATCTGTTTTATGCGACCACTTTTCATTCCTCCCGACCGTTTTTACTATGTATTTCAACTGTATTATGGGACCATCTGTCTAATACGACCAGCGACCACCCAATACACACTGACCCCAAAATTACGTTAAACGACCACATTTGATGTATTTTAGCGACCATGTTTGAAAATATACCAAACGTACGTTGGAATAGTGGTGTAACTCCAAATTTGTGACCGTCACCACATTTGACGGAAAGGCTAGTAACTTCACGATCTTTTCATCAAGTTCAGTGAACAAATTTGACAAAACCAATTTCTAACATTCATATGTACAGGTATTCAATTTTATACTAATTCTTCTCCAAAAGTATGTGGGGTACCTAGCTTTATATAGCCAAAATTTTTTTATCAAATATGACTGTCTACTGTTAACGTCAATAGATATTCTAATTCAACAGCGGTGTAACGCAATATTTCATTGATCAATCAACCAAATAATCACGATATACCTTCCATAAATTTCTCATTTGCATATGAAGCCCGGATGGCAATTGTAAATCACCAGGCATCATTGACCCCGACACCTCATGAAATTGATCATAAATGATGTTATGAAATATGACTTGACCCTGAAAGGTCAATGCAATTCCCCACTCCCTTTGAATGTGAATGAAATCAATAAAACCCGCAAAACATTTAAGTCAGAGTTCTGAAGAACACACACACATAACCCAAAATCATTGGGTTTTTTCAGTGGTTTAAGCTTATATGAATTAAGATATATCTACTGTGTTTTAAGATAAATTTGCATCCATGAATTATGATGATACTGTCATAAATATTGGGTTTCATGACTCCACTCTGCGTTGTGAGTAACACTCAATGTGCAGCAGTATAAATATGACAAATCACGTAACATTTTAAAACAATTCTGGGTTATTATCCCTTACAAACATACAGTTAGACCTGTACTAATATAAGAGACCACTCTCTGTAAGTCCAAAAAGTGGTCTCTGTATGCAGGTGGTCTCTTGATCCTGAGATATGCTTATGTCACACTGAATTCAACACAATATGTAAAATTGGTCTTTTAACACTCTCACACATATGGCCTATTTACACAGATGGTCTCTTTACACAGGTGGTCTCTTGATCCTGAGATATGCTTATATGGTCTTTTAACACTCTTACACATATGGCCTATTTACACAGATGGTCTCTTTACACAGGTGGTATCATAATAGAGGTGGTCTTATGAGCAGGTTTGACTGTACAATGCACCATACTTTTTATAGAATTGAAAATTTTAAAATAATGTTCAACCATTATTTTTTTGAATTACAAAAATAAATGAACAGATCATGTATTTTATTGCCACTCTTAATTACAGTCTTGCCAAACTTGAAATTTTGAAATTTCCATGAGGGAGATTCTTCATGTACATGCTCAAATTTAAAAACATAAGTATAAGGTGTGTAAATAAAAAACATCACTTAAGAATATCATATTTTGAGGTAATTGTACATTCTAATGAAATCAATAGATCTTATAGGAATAGTTTAAGAAGCTTACTGGCTGAAAATGGTCAAAACCGGGAGTCTCCCTCCAAAATACGGAGAGTTGGTATAAGTTAATGCACTTCATGAATGACATGTACACCTGCCTGAAAGTGTTCCGATCCTGTAACCAAGCTGGACAAACACGCGGGGTCTGTTTGCTTCTCGGGAATATATCCCTCGACACACCAATCCTATAGCCCCAGTCAACACTTACATTTGTCTGGTCAGTGTTTGTGCTTGTAGTACAGAACATGTTTTCTTAGGCGATATGTTTACATGTTAGACCTAAGTAAACACAAAATCAAACAGACAGGCTTTCTTAAACAATCTATCTCGAAAGTTTCCTTCCTGGTCATACTGGTACAAAGAGAACTTGAATAAATTGTGCAGTGAGGCGTTGGTCAGTCTTAGGTCTGTATCCCCTATATAGTCCTACTGAAAATTGTAAAACACTCAGCTATCTATATATTTATGTTACATATCACATAATGTATTGTCTTATCCAGTGAATATCCAAATGTCATATCTTTTTTACACGTATTAACCCATGTAATATGACCTATCCGCCCTGTGATTGGTTGTAAGTTTCAGTTGTTTCAATTGTGACGTCACGCCTAGGACAAGTACATGACGTCACAGACTTACGCACAGGAGTCAAAATGGCGGCCTTTTACATTTCAAGGGTGCATGAAAACCGTAGTGCTCACGAAATTCAATGCCCATTGAATATAAATACCATGAATATACAGATAAAAGAAAATACCTAATTACCCTTCCACTGCCAATAATGACGATAAAACACCAATATAATATGGTATTTGACATTATTTGGATAATACACTGGTAAAATAAATCCCATCACTCCGACACAAATTACCCTCAGGATTGCAATATTGCGATATTACACAGAATGTAATTCCCCAGAACTATTCCGTCTTTGCGTATTGCAGAGTTATCTTCTCTTGTGAGCAGATATTGATAGGTACGTCATTGGATTGTGTGAGAAATTTACGTCGTTTTCTCAAAAATTGATGGCGTTACTCTCACAAAAAAAATGACGTAACAATCAATACCTCCTCACAAGAGCAGATAACTCTGCAATACAAAAAGACGGCATAGTTATGGTCAGAAAAACTGCGAAAAAGATCAGCCCCTCAAAATTAAACAACTATACAGTATTAAAGTACTGTTCATGACTGCTGTCAGCAAAATAATCATTTATATAAATATACTTGCCGGTACATTAACTTAACGCAAACCAAACATAGCGAGAGGAATCTGTTTACAGCTCAACACAGAATCATATAAGTGCTACCCAAAACAACAAGTACAGCAATGCAATATCCAATTAACTCTATATATTTCTACTGCGCAGGAAATATAAAGACGCCTGCAGACTTAGCTTGTTGTTAATGAAAGAACATGTACATCAGCAGCAATATTTTGGAGAGAAAAAGATGTTTTGAAGCTTCATTAAGATGTGTATCATTCATGTTATGTTTACAGACCTGTGACAAAGCCAAATTGTCAAGGCCATCATTATTCAATACTCACAATACTAACCCTAGCTGTGCTTGACAGGTTGGTCTTACCCGATCTGTACTCGACAGGTAGATCTTACCCGAGCTGTGCTTGACAGGTAGATCTTACCTGAGGTGTGCTTGACAGGTAGATCTAACCCGAGCTGTGCTTGACAGATAGATCTTACCCAACCTGTGCTTGACAGGTAGATCTTACCCGAGCTGTACTCAACAGGTAGATCTTACTCGAGCTGTGCTTGACAGGTAGATCTTACCCGAGCTGTGCTTGACTGGTAGATCTTGTCCGAGCTGTGCTTGACAGGTAGATCTTACCCGAGCTGTGCGTGACAGGTAGATCTTACCCGAGCTGTGCTTGACTGGTAGATCTTGTCCGAGCTGTGCTTGACAGGTAGATCTTACCCGAGCTGTGCTCGACAGGTAGATCTTACCCGAGCTGTGCTTGACAGATAGATCTTACCCAACCTGTGCTTGAGAGGTAGATCTTACCCAACCTGTGCTTGACAGGTAGATCTTACCTGACCTGGGCTTGACAGGTAGATCTTACCCAACCTGTGCTTGACAGGCAGATCTTACCCGAGCTGTCCTTGACTGGTAGATCTTGTCCGAGCTGTGCTTGACAGGTAGATCTTACGTGTATCATTCATGTTATGTTTACAGACCTGTGACAAAGCCAAATTGTCAAGGCCATCATTATTCAATACTCACAATACTAACCCGAGCTGTGCTTGACAGGTTGGTCTTACCCGAGGTGTGCTTGACAGGTAGATCTTACCTGACCTGTGTTTGACAGGTAGCTCTTACCCGAGCTGTGCTTGACAGGTAGATCTTGTCCGAGCTGTGCTTGACAGGTAGATCTTACCCGAGCTGTGCGTGACAGGTAGATCTTACCCGAGCTGTGCTTGACAGGTAGATCTTGTCCGAGCTGTGCTTGACAGGGAGATCTTACCCGAGCTGTAGTCAACAGGTAGATCTTACCCCAGCTGTGCTTGACAGGTAGATCTTACCCGAGCTGTAGTCAACAGGTAGATCTTACCCCAGCTGTGCTTGACAGGTAGATCTTACCCGAGCTGTGCTTAACAGGTAGGTCTTACCCGAGGTGTGCTTGACAGGTAGATCTTACCCGACCTGTGCTTGACAGGTAGATCTTACCCGAGCTTTGCTTGACAGGTAGATCTTACCTGAACTGTGCTTGACAGGTAGATCTTACCTGACCTGTGTTTGACAGGTAGATCTTACCCGCGCTGTGCTTGACAGGTAGATCTTATCCGAGCTGTGCTTGACAGGTAGATCTTACCCGAGCTGTGCGTGACAGGTAGATCTTACCCGAGCTGTGCTTGACAGATAGATCTTACCCAACCTGTGCTTGACAGGTAGATCTTACCCGAGCTGTGCTTGACTGGTAGATCTTGTCCGAGCTGTGCTTGACAGGTAGATCTTACCCGAGCTGTGCTTGACAGGTTGGTCTTACCCGAGGTGTGCTTGACAGGTAGATCTTACCTGACCTGTGCTTGACAGGTAGATATTACCCGAGGTGTGCTTGACAGGTTGGTCTTACCCGAGGTGTGCTTGACAGCTAGATCTTACCTGACCTGTGCTTGACTGGTAGATCTTACCCGAGCTTTGCTTGACAGGAAGATCTTACCAGAGCTGTGCTTGACAGGTAGATCTTTCCCGAGCTGTGCTTGACAGGTAGATCTTATCCGAACTGTGCTTGACAGGTAAATCTTTCCCGAGCTGTACTCAACAGGTAGATCTTACCCGAGCTGGGCTTGACAGGTAGATCTTACCCGGGCTGTGCTTGACAGGTAGATCTTACCCGGGCTGTGCTTGACAGGTAGATCTTTCCCGAGCTGTGCTTGACAGGTAGATCTTTCCCGAGCTGTGCTTGACAGGTAGATCTTTCCCGAGCTGTGCTTGACAGGTAGATCTTTCCCGAGCTGTGCTTGACAGGTAGATCTAACCCGACCTGTGCTTGACAGGTAGATCTTATCCGAACTGTGCTTGACAGGTAGATCTTATCCGAACTGTGCTTGACAGGTAGATCTTAGCTGAGCTGTGCTTGACAGGTAGATTTTGCCTGAGCTGTGCTTGACTGGTAGATCTTGTCCGAGCTGTGCTTGACAGGTAGATCTTACCAGAGCTGTGCTTGACAGGTAGATCTTAGCTGAGCTGTGCTTGACAGGTAGATTTTGCCTGAGCTGTGCTTGACTGGTAGATCTTACCTGACCTGTGTTTGACAGGTAGATCTTACCCGAGCTGGGCTTGACAGGTAGATCTTACCCGAGCTGTCCTTGACAGGGAGATCTTACCCGAGGTGTGCTTGACAGGTAGATCTTACCAGAGCTGTGCTTGACAGGTAGATCTTACCCGAGCTGTGTTTGACAGGTAGATCTTACCCGAGGTGTGCTTGACAGGTAGATCTTACCCGAGCTGTGCTTGACAGGTAGATCTTACCCGAGCTGTGCTTGACAGGTAGATCTTACCCGAGCTGTGCTTGACAGGTAGATCTTACCCGAGCTGTGCTTGACAGGTAGATCTTACCTGAGCTGTGCTTGACAGGACGATCTTACCCAAGCTGTGCTTGACAGGACGATCATTCACCTAAGCGGTATAGGTTTCCGCCTGAATAGTACAAAAAGGGTTTTACAGCAAGTTTCTTACCTGAGTGGCACAGATAAGTTTTCTCATCTGAATGGCAACAATAGGTTTTCTCACCTTAGTGGTACTGGTAGGGTTTCTCACATGAGTGGTTCAGACAGGTTTTCTCACCTTAGTGGTACTGGTTGGGTTTCTCACATGAGTGGTTCAGACAGGTTTTCTCACCTGATTGGTACAGAAAGGTTTTCTCATCTGAGTGGTACATATAACTTTTCTCACCTTAGTGTAACAGGTAGGTTTTCTCATCTTAGTGTAACAGGTAGGTTTTCTCACCTTAGTGTAACAGGTAGGTTTTCTCACATTAGTAGTATCGATAGATTTTCTCACCAGAGTGGTACAAATAAATGTGTCTCACTTGAGTGGTTCAAGTAGATTTTCTCAACTTCAGTGGTACAGGTAGGTTTCTCACCTAAAGGTACACAGGTAGGTTTCTCACCTTAAGCTGTACATGTAGAGTTTCTCACCTGAGTGGTACAGGTAGGTTTTCTCACCTAATTGGTACAGATAGGTTTTCTCTCCTTAGTGCCTGTGGGTTTTCTCACATGAGTGGTACAGGTAGGTTTTTCACCTTAAGGTTTACATTAGTAGGTTTCTCACCTTAAGTGGTACAGGTATATGTTTTCTCACCTTAAGCTGTACAGGTACATTTTCTCACCTGAGTAGTACAGGTAGGTTTTCTCACCTTAGTACATGTGGGTTTTCTCACATGAGTGGTACAAGTAGGTATTTTCACCTTGAATGGTAAAATAAGGTTTCTCACCTGAGTGGAATATAGCAGTTGGGTTTCTCTCCTGAGTGGTACTTCACAAGAAGATAACTCACCCAAGTGGTAATTATAACAGTAAGGTTTCTCACCTGAGTGGAATATAGCAGTTAGGTTTCTCACCAGAGTGGTATGTACTTCACAAGAAGATAACTCACCCGAGTGGTAATTATAACAGTAAGGTTTCTCACCTGAGTGGAATATAGCAGTTCAGTTTCTCACTTGAGTGGTGCAGGCAGAGGTACAGAAATTATCTCAATATGCTGTCATCCATCACTGCAGAATGCAACTGCAAAGCTGTGGCTATAGGCAAGCACTGAAAACATACATATCAAGACCAGTATTAAACCGACAGCAAATGATCACAGCCAACATAAGCTGCTACAGTGTGTAACAGATATTGTAACACAGAACTACTGTACTGATGTGATTAAAAGAGATGTTTAAAAATTCAAGCAAAAACAACATTGACAGAACTTTTTCATGAATTTAATCTTTGATGGTAAATGTATGTAGTTCTTGCATGTGTTATAGATTTAAATTTTCCCCTTGAACACTGTATTTATATCTTAACTTAGTTGCAGCTATCTAGAATGCTTTAATATATTACCAAGTTCAGATGCACTGATGATTCTCATTAGTGCGCCAACACTGGTAATTTTTTTATCTGCCACGTGCGTCACTTTAATGAGGAGCCATAAGATACCCTTCGAGTACGTAACTTCATCTTGATCTCATCTGGTATATTACATTGTCAACGCGGAGAGAATCATGTGACTTGAGACGCAAGGCAGATGAGCAGAAAAACAAGTCACCTCAGAGAAACACTTTGAGGTTACGTACTGCACAATGAATCATTTCACCTGTACTGCACGGTGAATCATTTCACCTGTTCTGCACGGTGAATCATTTCACCTGTACTGCACAATGAATCATTTCACCTGTACTGCAAAATGAATCATTTCACCTGTCCTGCATGACAAATCATTTCACCTGTACTGCACAATGAATCATTTCACCTGTACTGCACAATGTATCATTTCACCTGTACTGCACGATGAATCAATTCACCTGTACTGCACGAAGAATCATTTCAACTGTACTGCAAAATGAATCATTTCACCTGTCCTGCACGACAAATCATTTCACCTGTACTGCAAAATGAATCATTTCACCTGTACTGCACAATGTATCATTTCACCTGTACTGCACGATGAATCATTTCACCTGAACTGCACGATGAATCATTTCACCTGTACTGCACGACGAATCATGTTTCACCTGTACTGCACGACGAATCATTTCACCTGTACTGCACAATGAATCATGTTTCACCTGTACTGCACAATGAATCATGTTTCACCTGTACTGCACGACGAAATATTTCACCTGTACTGCACAATGAATCATGTTTCACCTGTACTGCACGACGAATCATTTCACCTGTACTGCACAATGAATCATGTTTCACCTGTACTGCACGACGAATCATTTCACCTGTACTGCACAATGAATCATATTTCACCTGTACTGCACAATGAATCATGTTTCACCTGTACTGCACGACGAATCATTTCACCTGTACTGCACAATGAATCATGTTTCACCTGTACTGCACGACGAATCATTTCACCTGTACTGCACAATGAATCATATTTCACCTGTACTGCACAATGAATCATGTTTCACCTGTACTGCACGACGAATCATTTCACCTGTACTGCACAATGAATCATGTTTCACCTGTACTGCACGACGAATCATTTCACCTGTACTGCACAATGAATCATGTTTCACCTGTACTGCACGACGAATCATTTCACCTGTACTGCACAATGAATCATGTTTCACCTGTACTGCACGACGAATCATTTCACCTGTACTGCACAATGAATCATGTTTCACCTGTACTGCACGACGAATCATGTTTCACCTGTACTGCACGACGAATCATTTCACCTGTACTGCACAATGAATCATGTTTCACCTGTACTGCACAATGAATCATGTTTCACCTGTACTGCACGACGAATCATTTCACCTGTACTGCACAATGAATCATGTTTCACCTGTACTGCACGACGAATCATTTCACCTGTACTGCAGGATGAATCATGTTTCAAGTTGACAAGTATGGCACTCTTCCGCTCTATCGATCGACCTAAAAGGGAAATTCTCTCTGGCGAGAAGCTTAGGCCCATAATTTTATGTAAATATAATATGCAATTAAATCCTGCCACAGTACCATACAATATTTTACACTAGTATTGGCCTGATAAAAGAATTTGCAAAATTGTGGCGGAAGGGCACTTTAAAATAGGAGAGGGGTGCGCAAGAGTAAATTTGACTTATCAGTTATGTACGCATAATGATTTTCGTGTTGTTGTAATAAGGGAATAAAATGTGCTTTCTTCTCTCCCTCCAACTTTTCTCTGATACAGGGACAGATAAAACACAATCACAAACGTCAGATAAGTGTAGACTTTCTCTTACCCTGGACAGGTGTATCTGCACTTTTACCGGTGTGAGATTTCCTTGTCTCACCTTAGGGTTGAGACGGGGGAATTCCCCTATTCATAACAATGGTATGACGTCACTTCAACAATACAATGAGGTCACGTCAAAAATTCATCAACATCAGTCAACCCTGAATTTTTTATATGATACTCAATGGGTAAACAGGGTAAGAGAAAAAGGATCACTCACTCCCTTGTGGGTGAGATAGGGGAATCTCAATCCTCAGGGAAAGATTCTTAAGTTGACAAACACTCGGCAAAGCCTTGTGTTTCGCAATTTAAGAATCTTCCCCCTCGGGTTGAGATTCACACATCTCACCCCCAAGAGGATGAGAGATTCTATTAGCCTTAATTAAGAATCTCCGTGATGAGATAGAAATACTGACGACAAGTAGACAAGAATTTACTTATTTCAATTATTTTTTTATTCATTTCGATTATATTACTTATTTACTATTATTGATAGCATCGATACTTTCTCCCGATAAACGACAGTTAGAATAACAAGTTTTGTGAGACTAAAGAAAACAATGCTGCTCAACTTGACTGCATACAGAGCCAAAGTAGTTATTGTCATGGAATGTGATTATGTATCCAAATTTGATATTGATATTCAAATTATTGACAAGATCAAAATAGACACGCAGTATATTATCACATCATATTATCACTCCCTATAATACTGCTCTCACATGATTGAAGTCCACAAAATGGTACCCACGAATGACAATTACGACTGCCGGTAATGGAAGCATGCCGGTAATGGAAGCACTCTATCGGAAGCCTGATGATAATCCATAACACCAGGTCAGTCACCTGGCCTCACTGGTCATTGACCTCAAATAGCATCAACAGATGGATATACAGCTGAGTCAAGGTCACTGATCACCAAGACTTTATAGCCAGATACAACACAAGGCATGCTACAATGGACTAGCTAGCAGACATTGGGCATGCTACAATGGACTAGCTTAGCAGACATTGGGACTGATTCAATGTCTATACCAAGGACACTACAACACAACTTGATTCAACGATATACTCACATGGTATACATATAAGCACTTAAGGCCAAAATAAAAACAGATTGTGTGTTTCTGTTAACCCTATCTACCCTAGATTTTTGAGCCTACACCATTAAGTTTTTATTGGCATTAAGTGATATGCACTGTTAAAATCAGAACTCCTACCCTAAATAAGCATAGAAAAATAATTTTCAAAATGAAAATAAACTGCCTTTTTACCTACCCTAATTTTTCTGAGGATGATAGCGGAAACACAAGTTTTTTTCTTCTTTTCAGAATGGCATTCATAGGCAATGTGAAAGCCAAATGGAGTGCAAGCATTTGCAAAAGCCACTAAATTTAAACAGAAAACAGAAAACACCACTAAATACTTTGAGTCAATTTGTGTTGCATATATATATGCAGGACAAACCCACAAAGATGTATAATGTGTCACCATTTATGTTAAATTGGTAACGAGATATTCAAGCGGCCAAACGGAACATACATGTTATATAACCATTGATGTCATTGTTGGAGTCAGAATGATGGAATCGCTGTACATATCAAGTAACTCTTGTGTGATTGTGAAGTTCAAAAAGTAGGTGTATACATTATGTGCAAAAAGTTATATGAAATATATTTGAAAATATTCCCATCATCAAGTAAAAAGTCAGAAGCTGTGACAGTAACCTTAGATCTAAAGATCTTCACCTTAAGACAGAGGTGACAGGATTAATAATTTGAAGTTTCATAAAATTTGGCTGAAAACTTGAAGAAGTCAATTTTCCCAAATTCTGTAGCAGTGGCAAAGTGTTTAAGGCATCTGACATTCTGCTACCACTAGCCGTCCACCACTGGGTCGCAGGTTCGAGACCTACAGGGGGCAGTCACACATAGGTCGGTGATTTTTCTCTAGATTTTTGACTACGGCTTTCCACTACCACCAAAACCTGGCACGTCCTTTAATATATAAGACCATATAGCTGTTAAAAGGATGTAAAACACAAACAAACCAAACTAAACTTCACCTTGAAGTTAAGACTCTTACCATCAACCAGTTTTGTGAGATTAATATCAGAAATTAAAGCTGGCTGAAGAATCTGTACAGACAAGCCAAATATCTTATTTCCCCATCATTCTCTACAAAATTCTGTAATTTTGAATTTGACCTTTAACCTTTGAACTTGTCTTCAGGTTGAGCTCGAGAGATTGATGTTTAAGGACTACTGCAGTGAAATTTCATGAAATTTTGTTGAAAACTTAAGTCAGGAACCTGCAGACAACCCAAATGTATTATTTCCAAATTATCATGCAAAGACTCTGTAGCAGTGACCTTGACCTTGAAGTGTGACCTTGACCTTCAATTGGACTCCAGAGACTGATGCCAGGAACTCTAGTGTGACGTTTCATGAAATTAGGTTGGAAAGGAACATTCTCACGATATGAGAACAACGGTGTTCCGACCTACAGTTTGGTATGAGGTATGGCTGTGACATGTGTGGAAATGACAAATGTTTTCATAAAAGAAACATTTTTGAAGAAAGTTCATGTTTATTATTGATTAAAAGATCTTTTGAGTTCTTCAAAATCCATATTCCATTCTGCATTTGTTCAATTATACAGTGTGTCAATATGTCACTAATCCTCGACTGTACCCCCAGGATATTCAGACCAACTGGATGAATGGGGGGGAACAACCACATTTACACTGAACCATAACTTAATAAAAGTAGGTAATCTATCTTACTTAACCCTTTCACCACTGTAGACCATAATGGACTCATTCAAATAAATGTATGGTAGAGTCTACTAAAGCTACCTAGGGTTGAAAGGGTTAACCCAAATGTACTACAAATGCTGTAATGGAATTTCCTTTTTTTCCTTGTAACAATGTTTTTTTCTTTAAATTTATATACTCCTTCCTTGCTTCATATATTCAACCCAACTGTTTATGTGTTTAACTCTAGAATCTTCTTCAAGGGCCGCGGTTCTGGTGGCCAAGTGGTTAAGGTATCTGACATTTTGCTACCACTAGTCGTCCACCACTGGGTCACGGGTTCGAGACCTACGTGGGGCAGTCGCCAGGTATACTGGCCATAGGTCAATGGTTTTTCTTCGGGAACTCCATCTTTCCTCCACCATCAAAACCTGGCACGTCCTTAAATGACCATAGCTGTTAATAGGACGTAAAACACAAACAAACCAAACCAATCTAGCATCTTCTTCATTTTGAATATTAAAATTGACTAATCACAGACAACTAAAAACATAAGGTACGGTGAGCAGGAACCAAATCTACTAAAAACCTCCTGTAGTATATTTTTTGGAAAGCAGAGTGTGTTAAGCAAGTTATTTTGCCTGCTGAAATCCTACTGCAGTCACAATCAAAGAAATAGAGAAGTTTCAGCAGGGTTTCAACAGCTTCTCAAAATCAAGAGTACCGTGGGGCGGAACAATATACGCCCCTCGAATGCCTTTTAGTGTTATATACTTTCTTACATTGAAATAAGATCTGCATCATTCTAAGAGTGGTTAGCTGACATGCTGTAAAAAATGTAGGAGAAAATCTCCGAACAAAAAATCAAATACTGAAATGAACAAATTATTAAAGGCAATAACTTTTGCAAAAATTGTCGAATCAAATTCTTTTGAGGGAGACACAACTTCATATCATGATTTTAATGTTTACCAAGTTTCAAAGAGATCCATTGAAAAATGTAGGAGGAGATTGCCGGACAAAAATCAAATACTGAAATAAACAAAGGGCAATTACTTTTGCAAAAACAATCGAATCGAAATTCCTTTCAAGGAAACACAACAACATATCACGATTTTTTAGCCTACTAAGTTTCAAACGAATCCGTCAAAAAATGTAGGAGAAGATCTCCGGACAATAAAATCAAATACTGAAATGAATAAAGGGCAATAACTTTTGGAAAAAATGTTAAAAAAATTCTTTTAATGGAGAAACAACTCCATATCATGGTTATAATGTATTCCAAGTTTCAAAGAGATCGGTCGAAAAATGTAGGAGAAGATTGCCGGACAAACAGAAGTTTACGCCGGCCGGCCGGACAATGCCGTACCATAATACTCCCGTCAAATTTGACGGGTGTATAAAAAGAACAGCTGTTTTAAACTGAGAATTAAGTATTAATGTGGCTTCACAGCACTACTATATTCTGACATATACAGTAAAACCCTGATTCCTCGAGCTTGGTTCACTCGAATACCCCTCATTCGTCGAACAGTTCATTTGGTCCCAACCGAAAATATCTAAATAGTACCCGTATTTATCCTTTAATAGGCCCAGAAGCCAACACATAATCACTGACTCAAAACATTAATACAAAAAACTGAAATAGAATTCTTTCTGCAATTTACATGGGTGGGCTAATTACCAGGCATCATCTTCGCTAGCCAAGGGTTACGATCCGGTACTATCTGTCTACTCTTAGATCGTACCGGATCGTAACCCTTGGCTAGCGAAGATGACCAGGCATAGGCATATGGCCGAATAAAAATAGATAAAAGCAGGCTCACAGAATGATAGAAACCTTTGTATTCGCTGTGGATAGTTATGCCCTCAGGAATAAAGAGTGTGTAAAGTCATTTAAAGACTCTCAAATAAATCATCATCAATCCACTGATACAATTGTCAATAACAAATAATGGACATCAGCAACCTTTTATAAGAACATGTATATTTACCTGGTATTTGGTCTGTTAAAGCTAAAAAAAACATTATGTTCTTGACCACCTTGTCAAAATTCCAAATTGGGAGTGAGCTAGCACAGATAGATTGCTCAACTTCTGTCAGACACATGGAGCTGTGATATTTGAATGTTAACATGTATACTATATTGCTTATCGCACTTAATGACAAACTTGGACAAATTTAGATAGTGTTGATAACTGACACACACCTTTTCATTAGTTTTTGATATAGATCTTCTAATAAGTGAGTCGATGCAATGGATAGCGCACTCAATTTTTGCGAAGATGACTGGAATTTGATTCCTTATTGGATGTGACAAGGTATTGGGTTACCTGTCCACCAGGAGGGTTTTATCTGGGTACTACGTACGGTTGCCTTCCACATTTAACCCTTTCATCCCTAGGTAACTTTAGTAGACTCTATACCATACATTGATCTGGATGAGTCCATCATGGTCTAAAGTGGTGAAAGGGTTAAAGACCCACTGTGCCCTATATAAGATGATAAAAGTTGATTATTAATTGGAAAAAATAAACATTTATATATTTTAGTATTTGTATATACTTATTCATTCTGTGCAAAATATTGCTGGGCTCCAAAGTGTAATCTACCAATGAAAAAAAGTTGACGTTTAAGTTGTTAAAAACAATTGTAAGATGGATGCAAACTTTGGTATGAATCATACAAACATTTTTCTCTTAACTTCTTTGGTAATTTCCAAAAACATAACCCATCATGTCTTTGTACAGAAGACATACTGGCGCTTGCTTATACAAGGTCATCATAGTTAACTCAGTGATGTTACAGTTGGGTTTATAAGTAGCCCACTGGGTTATTGTAGGTAACACAAAATGGCACATGGTCATCAAGCTATTGTAACATCAATGCAACCTCAGTGGGGTTTCAATGGGTGATAAATTAGTTTTAAAGTAACCCACTAGGTTTTTGTAAATAATACAATCTAACACTTGAGTATATCTGAGGTCATCATATTTAACTCAGTGGGATTTCAGTTGGGTTTTAAAGTAGCCCACTGGGTTATTGTACGTAACACAAAATGGCACTTGGTCATCAAGCTATTGTAATATTAACCTCAGTGGGGTTTCAATGGGTGATAAATCAGTTTTAAAGTAACCCACTAGGTTATTGTAAATAATACAATCTAACACTTGAGTATATCTGAGGTCATCATATTTAACTCAGTGGGATTTCAGTTGGGTTTTAAAGTAGCCCACTGGGTAATCCAAAAATAAAATAGGATTTATGCATAGTTTACGCATTGCATAAACAAGTATGATATTGAATTCCTTCATAAGTATTTAGTCAAAGTGACCTTTTAACGTCTTGGCTCTTGTCTTAATTGATAACGTGTCCGAATCATTTTCAACTAGAGTCAAAATTAAATTATGGTAATTAATAATCAAGACTGCATTTTGAGACATGTACATGTATACTATAAGATCTTAACCTCTGACCTCCAGAGTAATAAAATCAAAATTGATGTAAACTGAAGCTACCTAAATTATGGACAAGAATTAGATGAAGAGGCTATCTATAGAATGTATTCAACCTGCTTCCACCTTTCAAACTTCATTTCATTTGAACTAGAAATGTGTTTCCCCTCTCTCTTTATTAGGCCAAACAAAAATTATCTGGTGTGTCCGGTAACCCTGTAACCTACGCTAATTGTTTGTGCCTACCTGAAACTTTTTAAGCCAATTTTCAAAGAAGCACTGTTAAAGTCAAGATCACTCTCCTATAAAAACTATATAAATTTATTTGTTAAAAGAAGATTTATTACCTACAGTACCTACTCTAAATTTTTCAAACAAGTTACAGGAAACACTTATTTTTTGGTCTGGCCTTATGCAATATAGGACATAATTCAACTTTGACCTACATATATATATACGTAAAGGTAGAGAGTATGTATGGTGACCTAAAAAAAACCCACTGCATATACTTTCTGCAGGTGATGCAGCTGGTATATTTCAATAAACATTAAGATGTATTCCAACAGTTCAAAATTTTACAGCCCAAATCAGGTAACTGAGGTTTAATTAAAATATTTACCCTTATTTGACCTTTGACCTAGAGGTGAAGGTCACAGTAATTTAATTACTATACAATACACACAACTTCTGTGGGAGATGCAGGTACATTGAACACCTCAAGTTTCATAAAAAACATCTTTGAGGATTTTAAAATTACGGTCCAGATAGATTTTTTGATTTTTTTCAAATATTTGACCTTTGACATAGAGGTCAAGGTCATGATGACGAAATTACAGTGCACTGATGTAACAAACCTTCTTAGTTTTATCAATATATCTTTAATGGTTTAAAAGTTAAGGCCCTGGAAAAAATGTTACTATTGATGAAACAGATTGAACCAAAATAACCAGAAAAACTGATACAATATGTCTGCCTTCTTTCAAGGGAAAGACATAATAATCTGTTTATAAAACTTTATTTTTTGTTTATGTATCAAGAGTTAAAAATTGGATAACAGAAGTGTGAAAAATACACACAAGTTTTATCATACAATAATTACATAACTATCATCATATATAAGTAAACACAAATTGACAGTATATACTTACATGAACAAGGTTGATACCGGAAGATCCTTACACTGAACTTGACAGACCGTGCCCAAACTTTGTAACCTGTAGGACAGACCCTGCCTGCAAATAATGATACATTTGCAGGGGACCAAAGTATCTTATGTATTGTAGATTCCTTTGGCTATAAATACATGTAGACTAGGTTGTTGACCTCCCCAAAACGGCCTTCACACACACACACACACACAGATGAAAAGTACAATCAGTCTTGTACATTAATAAGCAAAGATCCCTGATGTTTAAATATATACATGTACCTACGAGCCTGATGTTACATACTCTCAACACCAAACATGACACTATTACTAAGCTGTTCATTAATTTGTATAGTCCAGTGTCCCTGGACACATGATAGCCCTATGTAGGTGTTGGTGTGTATAGACTTGAGCTGGTTCTGTGTGTACATATACAAAGTGTATAAACTAAACCCTTTACAATCAATATAAAGCACACTGGATAAAGCATGTCCAGGTCAATCACCGTTCCATCTGGGGGTAGACAAGGGTCAGGCCGGTGATCGCTGGCCTTACATAGGAAACAAGGCAATGTAATGGGGAAATCAATGAATCTTCTATAGCTTTGTAAACTCCCACCTAATTGCCCTGTGTCAACAACCTCGGATCAACCCAGATCTCAACTACCAACAACCCCTGTTCCATGTAGGATAATGTACTACCAATACATATAACATGTACAATTATAAGAACATGGATACCATTTATACAGATCATGCTCAAGTATATAACATGTACTATGTACATTTATAAGGTACTCATTTGCATTGTTGTATATGATTATGAGTTATTTTGTTTAATTCATTGCATTGTCATTAAGTCTACATATATATTACACATTGGTAACAAATTTAAAACAGTATCTTCTTATTCTTTAATTAACTCAACGTCAAATATGTATATCACTCACAGGAAGTCAAAATAAGGATTTTTTGTTTGTGTTTATCAATGCAGGTCCAGAACTCTCTGCCTATTGAGCTATAAAGACCTATATAGCTATATTCACCTATAAATTATAGCTGTATTGAGCTGTTTTCTCATGAGATTTCAATTAAAGCATAGTCGCATCAAACATTAAGGTTTATAGTAATGTTGACTACAAAAAGCATACAGTTAGATGTTTACATTTTCGTTTTTTCATAAATGTAAAAATTTCGATTGTTTTTACATCATTATTTTTTTTAAAAAACACACTTACCAGGTATATTTAATGTCTTTTGTTGTCAACTTAATGATAAAATCTTCTTTTAAAAGCTACATTGTTTCGTTTTCCAAAAGACCTATTTCAGATAGGTCAATAGAGCTGTTATAGGTCTTAACAGCTATATATATAGCTCAATCGGCAGAGTGTAGTCAGACCTGTTTATGTCCTATTAACAGCTGTGGTCATTTAAAGGCAAGCCATGTTTTGGTGGTGGAGGAAAACTGGAGTGGCCAGTAGGTATACCTGGCAACTGCCCAATGTAAATTATGTACATGTAGGCCTCGAAACCCTGACCCAGTGGTGGAGGGCTAGTTATTGGACATCAGACACTTTTCACCATTCAGCCACCACATCCCCTTCAAATATGGGTACTCTGTATGCAAAGGGTCTCTTATAACTCATTCACCCTTGAAAACGTATTTGAACTCTTCCAATTCAAAGATTGGAAGAGTTCATTATGAAATTTCTGGGGTCAATGATCATGAGTTAATACAGGTTCAAATCACAATGATATCACTATTATCCAAAACATTAAAAGTGGTCTCTTATTTTTTTTTATTCTAACACATGTTGTGTTTTAATGAAGGTTGTCAAATGAGTATGTGTGACTGTAAAGTAACAGTACATTGTAATTCATATAACACACTTATGAATATTCCTAGAACATGCCCTAATACACCTACATATGCTTTGTAATAAAAATGCTGTATACGTGATAAAACCAATATCTTCCACTTGACTGTGACCGATATTTAAAGTGTTAGCAGGTACAGCCATGATAAAAAGCTTCACATTTTTCTGTCTGTTAAGCAGGACAGTCCTGTTCTCTGCAAGAGAGACTGAGTTGATTAATTTTTTAACCTGTGACCTTGAAAGTAGTTCAAGGTCATTTATTTAAAGGTATTTTAGTAACCCATAACACTTACAAACTTCTGGCCAAGCATCAAAACACAACATGTTATGGATAACAAGAGGCCAAGAGGGCCTGTATCGCTCACCTGGATATCTAAGCAATCATGGCAAAATATTCTCCAAATGAGATCCTGGGGAATATGCCAAACCTCAAGGCCAATCCTTGTAGCATATCTGTATTAGATTTTTCAGGCCCAGCAAGTTCGAATCGGCTGATAGTTCGAACACGTATTTTTTTCAATAAAAACAATAATTTTCTAGCTAGTGATAGTTCAAACTCTGATTGACCCTATTTCGGATAGTCCGAACTTGTCAAATGAAGAACGTAAAGTAAGATTTTCTTTCGGCAAACTCCATTGAAAGCTCGCGGCGATCGGCCCCGGAAAAATCCCAATACTTTGATCAACAGACACGTTTAGGGTAATGGGTTGTATGTGTGAGCGTTGCAGTACAGTTGTGACAGACAAACCATAAATACATGTCACAGGTTTTAGCGTCGATTCATTTTTTACATTGTTTGAAAAATACATCGTGCATGAGAGACAGCCAATTGCAACTTAGGCCCCGACAATGTATAAATAACATGCGATCAGTACGAACTGATGTCACGCTGTATGGCAAACTAAGAAATCGCCCGTGTAGTGTCAAATACAGTGTTAACTAAGTTTAAGTTTTTTATTTCCGAATGCAAATCAGCATATAGGTTAATTGATACATAGAATACAAAACATATTTCAAATTTTCAAGATGGCGGAGGACAATTCCATATAAGCAATTATCACATAAAAAGAATACATAATTTAGCAATATTACTACACGAGGGTTTTTCTTTTGGCGGTAGCATATTTTAAATACAGACCCAATCTACGTAATGTTTTAATACTTTTACATGACAATAATTCAATTAATTTATACACACTGGGGCATCGGAAGTAATATTGCTTAATGTATGTGTTTCTCAATACAGAGTAAGCAGGACAAATAAGAATAAAATGTATCTCATCTTCTAAATCATTTTTGTCACAGGCAAAACATAATCTTTGACCTCTCGGAACCCCATTATAACGTCCAGATTCGATATTAAGGGAATGCGCCTGCATGCGATATTGACTCAACATTTTTTTGGTATTAAATGTTAAAGGCTTTACTAAATAGAATTGCATATTAAAAGTATCGACAAGATGTCTATATAAATAACATTTAGAAGATGTTTCAAACGCACCACGTAATTCCTGAATAAATACGTCATGCAGACGTTGGGTATACATTTCCACAAATTGTTTTTCATTTGGAACATATTGAACATCCCAAATATGATTAAAACCCATTCTATATAAATCATTTTTAACATGATAAACCCAGTTAAGTTTACAATTCGGCTTTTTGACATTAAGCTCAAGTAGTGCATCATAGCATGCTTTTAGTACACAGTTATTTGTATTCAAAATATTTAACCAGTATTTAATTATAGCTACTTTGCGCTTTATATGTAAGGAATAACTTCCTGTCTCAAAGTAAACCATAGAACTATTGACGGTTTTCTTAACGTTTAATAAATCTTTAAGAAAGAGAAGATGGACTTTTTCGATTTGCGGCGATAAACAATTACCCCATACCTCACATCCATAGTTCAGTATGCATGTCACATATGTATCAAACAAAGATAATTTAGTTTCAGTATTAAGGATAAAATCTTTCATTCTTCTTTTTAAAAGATAAAAAGCATTCCTGCCTTGAGATGCCAACGTGTTTTGTGCTACGGTGAATCTTCCATTATAATAAAAAACTAATCCTAGATAACAAAATTTGTCCACTATCTCAATTGACTTGCCATTAAACGTCCAGTTTTCAGTAGGTAAGATTCTTTTACTTTTTCTAAAAATTACAATTTTAGTTTTATCATAATTAACAGTTAAATTCCATTTATCAGTGTAACATTGCAGACAATCTAGCATGTGCTGAAGAGACTAAGCATTTTGATTATTTAATTGCGACCAGACATCCCTTAATTATTGCCCAGCTCACACCAGGTAGGGAGGGACACGCGAGATGTCGCGGTAGGGATCGGCCGCCCAGCCGTGACGTGACGTGATTAGCATTCATGTCCAAGTCCAAACAATCCACAGGTGTCCCAATTAGCGATGGGTAATTTTGAAGGTGTCAAATAAGTTTGGTAGGTATTAGGACTTTATCACTTATAATTTAAAAGCAGACATGTTGATGTTCTTACCTAATTTTACTAACATATAGACCTATATTTACAATTGCGCTTTGTAAACGCAACAGGTTATGTAGACTATGTTTTCAATTTATTAAACGGACCATTCATTACGAAATAATATATAAAATAGTTTCTGATTCAAATAAAACCTAACAACGCAGAGACTCCATATTTAGGTATTTGATACAAACTAGCTATAGGTAGTCTAACTTTCGTGTCACAAATGAATCGTGTACTGTTTTGGGGCCTACACAATGGGCTCTGCTTCGCAATAACGATCATAATTATATCGAAATGAAGAAAGTTTAATGATCCATTAACATCGAATTAAATAATATCCTATCATTTTATCCATTTATAAATGTGCCATTGTTCTATGCCAGGTCGTCGTTGTTACGTTTCGACCTTATACATTGGATATATATGTCGGGTATATGTTTGTGACTTGATTTACACTTTGCCGAAATTTTTGCCGATAGTTCGAACTCACGCTTATTTTCTGAAGCATAATTTCGTATAATCCGAACAGGTTCATCAATATTTATTTGATTTTGTTCGAACTGACCGAAGGTTTACCGTATATTCATTTACTTCACATAATTTAAACAAAAAATCTATAAGTTTAAAATTGTTTATAAATTGAAATATACTGCACACATGTATGTCGAACAAAACATTTATCTTTTACCTTCATGACGCTAGAGCCTTGTATCGAAATTTTAATTCCCCCCAAATCTGAAAAAGTATAGTTTCCCCCAAAACCTAGATTGTTCCCTGATCTAGTGTGCAGGTGATGTCAACAACTCAATGTCACGACGATATGTACATGTACTGTATGTAGGATGAGCCCGACAGAGATGTACGTGCTTTATGATAAATATACTGCAGAAGTTAAGTTTCAGATATAAAGACAAAGATGTATCTGCATACCACGTCTGGTGTATTGTCGCAGATATTTGGATTGAAATTGGAAATATATTCCTCAGTTTTTGGTCATTTCGGGGGGAAAAAAGGCACTTTTTAGCTAGGGGAAACAGCATGCATTCAGCAGTTAAAACTGAGCCAAAAAAAATCACTGAAAATTTAGGCAATACATGTACCAAACCCTTCAGGTTGGGTAGACTTGAAATACCCTAATGACCACTCTTGTTTAATCGAACTAAATGCAAATGATAAAAGTCTGCAGCCATGATTATCACATAATTCTAACAAATCATTCATCTAAACAACAATTTACATGTTAAAAGTGAAGTGAAATTGTCTCTGGCACTTTCAAACTGACACAAGTTTTAGCCTAGGTCAATTGCAAACGACCACTGGATACTCAGACACTGGTACCTGATTGACGGATCTTAGCAAGTCTATAAGTGGTGTGTGCGTTCCGTCTGAGAAGTTATTATGGTATCCGTAATTTATAGTTACTACAAACAGCAGCCGAATGTCAGGTAACAACTCTTTAATTTAGTCATTGCCATATTATCATGCAAAACATGGTTTCTGTTCACTATTAAGCATTCAATGGGAAAACACTCAGATATAACAATCTGCTAAAGAAGCGGAGTTTCTTTCTCTCTCTCTCTCTCGTTTCCTTTTCACAAGTGACAGCTAACTAACAGCGTAACATCGTGGCTCTGAAAGTCATGGTTATGTAAAATTTATAAAGTGTGTGGTGAGATTTTATCTACGTGGTCACAAGTTCCATGTGAACTCGCAATGTCGATAGAGGATAAGTGTGTTACAATGTTAAAATGTTGACATCTTTACCTTGACTTGAGATCTTGAATCATGTTTGATCCGGATCATCCGACACCGATCCAGTTAATTTTAGTGAATGCATTTTACGGAATAGACAATTGACAGATGAATCAAACGAAACGACATTTGTACGCGTTTTTATTTTTACATTTTGTATGTTTTAAACACACATACATTATTTAACTAAATGTAATTGATTTTTTAGAAGATTAACAGATTCCAAAAATGGTAAATAAAAGTATTGCATTCAGTTGGCATTCATAGGCAACATAAATTCCAACTGGACAAAGGCAAATTCGATGAAAAGCGCAAGCGCTTCATACGAAATTCATTTTTTTTTGTACAATCAATCAATCAAACAAACAAGCTATGGTACTTCATTTCCAAGACCTTCTGGATTTGCTTTTCAGTCAAGGGGTCAAAATGTATGATACTTCATTTCTAAAACCTCCTGGGATTGCATTCAGTCGAAAGGTAAAAAAAACGTTGTTTACCAGCGTGAAAAGGGAACTCAATGACGGATTTGTAAAGCCTTTGACCTCCGTGATACTCAATGTTGATTGATATTTGATAATACCATATATTTGTTTTCCGTTTCATTTTAACTTGCATATCTTTCAGAGGTGTTACGATGGCAACCGGACCCTCTGTAGCAGTTGTTGGGGGTGGGATATCAGGACTGGTGTGCGCTATACGACTTGCCCAGCTGGGAATACAAAATGTCACGGTGTTTGACACAGGTAAATGGTTCTCCCATCATCCATTGAGCTCATTTCTGATAATAGTCTTTTTATCTACAAATCATACCTTCCTCTTTAGCAATTTCCATCTGCCCTTCTGTTTCAACACTATGATACATTTAGACCAATTTGGATTTCCACATTTTTAGTCCCTAGCATCACCGATTTGTTCTAGAAGGACCAAACTGCTATATATATATTGCATTGAAATTTTGTCTTTTCTCAAAAACAGTTCTGCAAAGAATATACAGTGCAAAATTACAAATAGTTTGATTGGTGCAATGTAGGTATTCACGATGACCAAAAGCACATTGCCAGAAATAACTGCATAATAAAAGCTGATTGAGGCAAACTTTGTTATAAGAAGTTCTGATTTCTGATGCTGTACGAGATAGATGAGCGGGAAAATGTCTATGTCTACTTTTATTACGTACCTGAATAATCTTATAATGCTAAGCTTTTCTTTAGGCACGGCAATCCAGGGTTCTGTAGTGTACAAATGGCAGTATATGCATTTTGTATTACCCTAGTTTAGCCGATCTATCTTTTGGCTAAACTCAAACTGACGAATTGTTAAAAATAGGTTCCGAATATTTTGACGCCATTTTACGCCTGCCATCATCATTCTATCCTCAACACCGTTTTGTACGCAATCGATGTTTTATTAAGGTTTTCGGGAAGCAAATTTAACATTAATGTAGTGTAATCAAAAGTAATAATTAACAAGATATAATTATATAAAGCACAATAGTAAGTTTATTATATGAGCAATTCTGAGACAATATGAATTTTTATATTAAGGAAAGCATGCAGCCGGAGGAAGATGCTCCAGTCGCCATGTCAACATTGACGGGAGGCTCTACACGTTTGACCACTCAACTCAGTACTTCACCGTGTCAGACAAACGCTTTTGTAATGTTGTATCCTTCTTACACGCCCAGGGTGCAGTTAAAGAGTGGAAAGGTCCAATTGGTCATCTAAAGGACGGTCGTTTTCTTCCAACGAAGTCGCTAACACAAGCGTTCGTGGGAGTTGAAGGGATGTCTTCCATATCTAGCTGCCTGGCATCCCGTGTCAATCTGAAACGGCCTGTTTGGATAGGAAATGTAGCTTGGGAAGAAGCATCTAAGAAGTGGAAAGTTGACAGGTTTGGGTTTTACGATTATCTGGTCATAGCACACAATGGAAAGTGTGCTGATAGGCTGATGAGTAGTGCTGGTGTTCCAAACGTTCACCGTCTGCTGCAGGTCCGATTTACACCTCGTCTTGACATTAAAGATAAACGAATGCAGCTTTCTTCTCTTTGGATGTTGATGGTGGCGTTTCCGAAGTCACTGTCGTTGCCGTATGAAGGGGCACATGTGGAGGATAAGGAGTTATCTTGGGTCGCAAACAATACGGCGAAACTTTCCCGAGATAAAATGTCAGTGATGGAATGTTGGACTCTCTTCAGCACCAAGGAGTACGCGAGTGCAAACAAAGTCCCACAAGAAAACATTCCACCACGAAAGGAAAAACAGGTAACTGACGAGCTGTTAGCTGCATTTGCTAGAGTAACTGGACTTGGGTCAAAGTTACCTTCTCCTAGGTACACAAAGGTTCAACTGTGGGGCGCAGCAGTCCCTCTGAATACTCTCAACACGAAAGAGGAATGTGTTTTTGACGGTCAGCACAATGTGGGAATATGTGGAGACTGGCTTGTGAGCCCATGTCTACAGGGGGCTGCCATCAGCGGACTTCGTCTTGCTGAATTCATTCAGAGTCACTCATCGGGTAGGTAGAAACGTCCCTGATTGTAATTTTTGTTTAATTTAATAGTAAATGACGAGAACAGTCCGTCCTGAATATCCTGACATTTTCTCAAACATTTTAATATTTTTGAAGAACAGCCTGTAAACTCATTCCGATTGCTATTCACGTCACAATGTATTGTTTTTCAAAAGAGTTCATAAAAATCATATATTTGAAAACAACAAACTCAGTAAAGTAGTAAGGTTTCTATAATGGAATCTGAAACACTTCCGAAGTAAGTTGCAAAACAAGTGCCAACCGAAGCAGTATCTGTGTTACTGTCTAGAACTCGCAAACAGCGTAAAGTATACAAAAACGCACCACTATCGCTTACAACGAACATGTGTATGTACTCAGATGGTTTATGCCTAGGGTAAAACTGGACGACAGACCTTGCAGACGTCATCTTCATGTAAAATCAGCATATGAGCCAGCTCATAAACCAAGAACGGTCACACTAAACCCCATCATCTAATTACCAACTGTCACATACTAGTGTTATTTCTGTTTCTTAGCAATTAAATATAATTTATCTTAATTGATTGTTTGTTTACAGGTGCCAACAGGACAGCTTCGAGTCTACAGCTTGATTTTACAGCAGCAGATAATCACGCTATCGGCTCCTTCCCAACAGATTCATCCATCATATTTAAACCGAAGAAGACTTAGGAGTGACGGGATAGTATTATTATGTGTTATCATTTTATTCAACCTTTTACCACACACGATTCATCTACTTCGGAGAAGATTTTCTGTGTTGTAATTTTGGGAAACATTCGGTAACTTTAATATTGTTGCATGTGCTATTTTGTGGTATATAAACCCCCTGTCCGGTAGGGTTGTAGGGTATATTGAAAACGTTCTTGTATAGTTAATCTTTATTGGGAAAAACCTAGTTTTTTTAAGATTGGATAAATTACCAAATGTGTAAAGAGACATTATTGAAAATTATAAAAAAGTTTATTCTTTTCAAACTTGTATGGGAAGATCAGTGGCGGATCAAGACCTATCTGGCGGGTTCCAAATTTCCAGGGGGTACGTGTTTCCATGTGGGGAAAAATTGAGGAAAATGGTGGAAATACATGATTTTTAAAGAAAATCCTCAGGGTGTGGGGGTTTACTGAAGCCCAAAAAAAACCTCTGGATCCGCCACTGAAGATCAATTTGACAAGAAACTGAATTAATCAATGTCGTATATAAATATTTCCCATAAAAGGCATGTTTTAAATATTACTATTTTAAAACTATGCAAACGCTATGTACATGTAGTATTGGACAGTATTGCGCAATTTATCTGTTTTTCTTCATTTTTTTCACCATCATATGACACATATTGTCAGTAATAAAATACTTGTACGAAATTCACGTCTTTGTTTTGCTGTACTCTAACGTTGTCCACCCCGTTCAGGTTGCCGTATTTCTGGCAAATAAGTTGGAGGTGAACATATGAGAAATATAGGGAAACAGAGCGGGTTACATAAATTCTGGTTCGCTCCTGTCAAGTATCTTGGAAGTTGAAAGAAGTTGACAAACACTTGAATACAAATATTTTAGTTTATTTAATATTTAAGAATGGATAATATTATTAACAATATAACGTGTAAGTCAGTACCGCAATGTAAACACCATTGACGGTATTTTGGGAGAAATCTGGTAGTCTGAAATCTCGAAATAAGTCACTTATCAATAGCTCGAGTTGCTTCCCTTGGGTCGTGAATTCACTATAAATAGTATGTAATCATTCTTAATCACGATTAGTTATGTAGCTTAGAAGTTAGTTTTCCCTCTTGGGTCATATCGTCTGCTTTTGGGAGTGTCATTTGTATAAATGTTCATATTTCACAGTTCACCGAAATTCAGCATCAGAAAGTGAATCATAAAACACGACTTCTATGGGTGGCGGTTCGGGCCAAAAACGATAAAGTCACGCGTAAGAACTGACTTTTAACGCGTTAAAACTTACTTTCAACGCGTTAGAAGTGCATTTAACGCGTTAAAAATCACACTTCTAACGCGTTAAAATTCACATCTAACGCGTTAAAATGGTAAATGCCCTGGCCAATCAGAGAAATCGTTTCATAGTTGATGCTTTTGATATTTAAAATAAATAAAAATGTTATGACAATTTATATTGAAAAAAAAACATATAATATGTTTCTTCTAAGTAATGTGGAAATGGGTTATTGTCTGGGTTTTTAACAAATCTTCATTTAATTGAAATAAAATATGACAGTTTTGATATATGAATAAAATTGCTAGAGCCGTCAAAGTGGTGTCGAAACACAATTTAGATTTTTTTTAATCAAATAAACGGAACATAAAATTGTTTGGAGTCCTTAAAGGAATGAGAATGTAAAAGAAAGAGGTAGGAACAGCAGATAAGTGTGGATCATCACTATAATGAATGAGGTATGCAAGTATTAAAGTTGCCAGGTTCACGACGATGTTGAACAACATGTATTGTATATTATATAAGTGTGAAATCTGGTGATTATCAATATAAATTAGGTGTTTTAGTAAGGTATCCACTGGTTCAATACGTGTATGAAATCCACGATTTGTCCTTCACAGATCTCAATAAATATTCATATTTAATATTTATAAAGTGCAGCGTTTCCAGAGTGCTTTTCTGTTAAGTTGTAAGGGTATATTTTTTGTATTTTAAAAATGTTCGAAGGTCATTTGTATATATGTTTCTAGTCATGGTCGTAAATTGTCAAGATTGCATTCAACGTTAACTTGACTGATAGTTTGTTGTTCTTTTTATAGCTATTAATAAGTTGGGCTTGAAGTCTATTCAACACATAATTAGTGTTTTGCAGACTAGTAAAGACATGGAGGGTGAGACAGAAAAGGCAGGAAAAAACGGTTATCATGACATTTGATCTTATTCCGTGGTGCAATGTCCGTCATCTGTCTCAATATTTTTTGTTTAAATGTCTTTTTCCACAGTCAATAAACTGATTTTAACCAAACTAGTGAAGTATCATTGGGTTCATAGGTGTTTGCATTAACCTAACGAAGACATTTAAGGAAATCGGAAGAAAAAATAAAAATAAAATAAAAAATTCAATATAAATAGTCTTAACATTTTTATTTATTAAAACATCAAAAGCCTCAACAATGAAACGATGTCTCTGATTGGCCAGTGCATTTACCATTGTAACGCGTTAGATGTGAATTTTAACGCGTTAGAAGTGACTTTTAGCGCGTTAAAAGTCAGTTCTAAAGCGTTAAAGGTCACTTCTAACGCGTTACTGTATATCGTTTTTGGCCCGAACCGCCACCCATAGACTTCAGTCCAAAGTTCTCGAATGTGTGTGATGCTGCAGTGGGAGAAGCCGTTCAGTAACAACTGGTCCATTCCTAGGGTTAAGAAGTAATTGAACATCTTGGTACTTCTATCACTGAAATATGTGTTGACATTATTCTCCTATGGCTCCACGGGTGATGACTTCCAACGCTATATCCGGCAAGAATGGGAACCGGCAAGAATGGGAAATGGATCCACTTTCATTGTGCTTGTCTCGCACATTGGAATGTAGTTTAAATCATGTGGCATTCCGGCCGATCCACAGGACAGCATTTTAGAGACGAAGTCTCCACAGATTCCACAGAGAGATCTCTGGACCTGGAAAGACAGAATAAGAACTCAATTGTAAGTTTTATTTCCAAGTGGTAATTTTTGTTGTGGACATAGTTAGATATAATCAGGTGTCCAGGATATTATTTCTCTCTATACCCATTTGGGTTTGTTATCTCCCCTGTATGGTTTGAGTATAAGTCATGGTGAACCAGTTTCACTTTACTTTGTGGGCTTTTCTTAATAATTCTGTATAACACATAATTAATTCGTTGTGTTATTAGATATGGTTCTTTCCATGGACAATTCAATTTCCTTCCCAACCCTTTAAATTAGGGTTTATATAACCAGACAGCGTCATTTGGCTCATACAGGTGTTTGTGTATCTTTTTGCTGTATTCTTTAAGCATATTTGAGGCTGAAAGGTTTAGTTTGCTTCTCACAAAGTTGTGTATAACTTCAATGGATTGTGCGAGTTTGGAAGCACATTCTGATGCTAATTCTTGTGTTTCATGAGATCGACGGGCAAATTGACAGGATGCCCGATTACCATCTCACATGGTGAAATACCAGTGGATTCATGGATTGCGGATCGATACGCCATCATAGGAGGGGATATGTGTTCGTCCCAATCTTTCATGTTTTCATCAACAAATGCTGAGAGCATGTTATCACTCGTTCTGTTAGCACGTTCTATCATGCCATCAGACTGAGGTCTGTATGGTGTGGTACGTGTTTTCTCTATGCCAAGTATCTGACACATTTCTTTGAAAACTTCACTTGATCGGAGTGTAACTCCATAGGTACACCAAATATTGTGATATTTTTTCTTACAGTTTCTTGGCAATAGTGTTACCTTTGTGATTCCTCAGAGGAATAGCATCGACCCACTTGGTAAAGTCTTTTGCTTAAAGGTAAAGGACCAATGACATCTATGGCCAATCTCTCCATAGGTGCTCCTACATTATGCTTTTGTAATGGTGCCTTTGCTTTCTAGCAAGGAGTTTTTTCTGGATGCACATTGGTCACATTTCATACACCAATGTTTGACATCTTGTGACATGTGATACCGAAAGTATAAAGTTTTCTTGTATCCTAAATGACCACCAACAATTTTGTTGTGTAGTTCATTCATGACTAAATCATGAAGTCTCTTAGGAAGAACCATTTAAAGTTTGGTTTATACATCTTCCAATTTATGACAAAGAATATTGTGTATTATGCACAGGGAATCAAATATCACCCAGTAATATTTACATTCTTCATTGAGGTCTGGTAATTTACCAGTTTTTACTCATTTCATGACTAAACTAAGATTGTCATCATTAGTTTGTTCTACAAGAAAACTATCTTGCTTGATAGCTTGTTCTAATAGTTCAGGTTTTTCATCTTCAGGGGCTGTACCCGAGATGTCTGGGGAAGCATTGGATTGAGAACGTGTACAGACAGGAAAACAACCAGATATTGTAGTACAATGCCCTAGTACAATGTTGACAATTCTCATTAGAACATGGTCCTCTGGAAAGGTAATCAGCATTTCCATGCTATCGACTTGCTTGGTGTTCAGTTTTGAACTGATAGGTAGCTAAGAACTCGAACCATCTGGCTATTTGTCCTTCGGGATTCTTAAAATTAATGAGCTTAGTTAAAGTTCAGTGATCAGTCTAACTTTTAAAAAAAAATGTCCATATAAGTAGTCATGGACATTTTTAATAGAACTGACTATTGTCAGAAGATCTCTGCGTGTAACACAGTAACGTCTTTCAGCAGCACTGGGTTTTTCTACACCATTTTGTACTTGTGATAAGACGACACCCTTACCAATATTGGAGGCATCCGTGTCTAGAATGAAGATACCTTGATCTTTCATTGGAAAGGATAGCACAGGACAACTAGTTAAAGCTCTCTTCAACTTGTCAAATGCACCCTGACAATCAGTAGTCCAAAGATGCTTAGAACTCTTTTCTGTTATTTTCAGGTTTGCATCACAACGCCTTGTGCTGACTTGCCCGAGATTTTCCAAGTGATCAGAAAAGGTTTTTGAGAAGATGATAATGTCATCCAGGTAAACCATACATATTTTCCAGGAAGGTTTTGAAAGTTCTTTTTCAATTAGTCTTTCAAAAGTAGCGGGGGCATTACATAAACCAAAAGGCATTGTAATGAATTGCCAATGTCCCAACCAAGGAACACTAAATGCTGTTTTCAGGTTTCATTTTAACCTGCCAATTACACACTTTTTAGGTCTAAGGTTGAAAACCACGTAGAACCACTAAGGGCATCTAAAGTTACATCTATTCTGTGAATAGGGTGACTATCTTTTACAGTAACTTCATTGAGTTTTCTATAGTTTATACAAACGCGTATAGTTTTGTCTTTCTTTTTCACCAAGACAATAGGTGAACTCCAGCTACTTTTAGATTTTTAGCTCACCCTCACCTGCGCAAAGGGCAAGTGAGCTTATGCCATGGTGCATCGCCCGTCGTCAGTCGTCTGTCCGTTCGGCGTCAACTTTTTACTTTAAATAACTTCTTCTAAGTAACCAAAAGGCTTGGGAAGATGATATTTTGCCAATAAAATGCTGGGATGAAGGGCTACCAAGTTTGTTCAAATGAATGACCTTCATCCATTTCAAGGTTACGGGTCAAATATGTTAAAACCTTTTAAACGTCTTCTGCTGAATAACCAAAAGGCCTAGGGTGATGATATCTGGTCAGTAGCATACTAGGATAAAGGGCTACCAAGTTTGTTCAAATGAATGACCTTGACCTTTATTCAAGATCACAGGGATCAAATATGTTCAAAATCTTAAAATCACTTCTACCGAATAACCATGAGGCCCAAAATGTTGATATTTGGCCAGTAGCATGCGTGAATGAAGGGCTATCAAACTGTTTTCATTTGGATAACCTTGATCCACTATGGTCAAATATGTATAAACATTGAAATGACATAATCTTATTACACAAAAGGTCTACGGTGGTGATTTTTTGCAAGTTACATGCTGAGATGAAGGGCTATAAAATGTGTTCAACGTAATTACATTGTTCAACTTTCAAGTTCACATAAAATCTTTTAACAGGTTCTTTTGAATGACTTTTAGTCATAAATACTTAGCCTGTAGCTTTATTTTAGATCACCTTCAAGATTACAACATTCTGGGCCTCATGGTTATCCAGAAGAAGTCGTTTTAAGGTTTCAAACATATTTGACCCAGGTGACCCTAAGTATAAGTCAAGGTCATTCATTTTAACAAACTTGGTAGCCCTTTGTCTAAGCAAGCCAATGGCCAAATACCTAGGCCTTTTGGTTATTCAGAAGATGTAGTTTCAAGTTTTGTATTTGACCCGTGTGGGTGAAGGTCATTAATTTGAACAAAACTTGGTAGCCCTTCATCCCAGTTTGCTTTTGGCCAAAAATCATCACCCAAGGCCTTTTGGTTATTAAAAAGAAGTTTAAAATAAAACGTTGACGCTGGATGGGCAGAAGACAGAGGCGGCGCCATGGCATAAGCTCACATGGCCCTTCGGACCAGGTGAGCTAATAATGGAATTGTCCAGTGTTGTTTCAAGTGGCAGAACTCAAATAAAACTAACAAACTTGAAAGTCGTGTTGATGATTTAATATTAAAACAATAATCACCACATCTAAAATATCAGACAAAATAGTCGATAAAGTTGATACATGTTTCAAGTAAAGAGGGATTTGTCCTGTCATTCACACACACATAAATACTATGATTCAATCTTTACACCGGATGAATATAAAAATAATTCATTAACTCATTCACCCCTGAAATTTCATAATGAACTATTTCAACCTTTGAATTGGGAGTTCCAATGTGTCTTTAAGGTTGAACAGGTAAAACAATGGGTAAAACACTAGTAGTTCACCAAGGCAGAAAGTGTGGACATTTTATAATCATATCATAAACAGAATTTTAAGATGCATCAATATGTATTTAACAATTTATCAAATTCTTATTACACAATATTGTAAATAGTAATTATACAATAAAGGAAATTAAATGTAGTTTATACCAAATATTGTAAATAGTAATTATACAATAAAGAAAATTTAGATTATACAAAATCGTAAATAAAGTTATCAAATATTGTAAATAGTAATAATACAATATTGTAATCACTAATAATACAACATGTTACTAATTATACAATATCGTAAATAATAACTATACAATATTGTAAATGGTTGATCATTTTAATTATACGATATTATAAAGATAATTATAAAACATCACATATTATACATTTTTTTTAAATAGCAATTATGCAATATAGTAAATGATACATTATTGTAGATAGAAAGTTTACAATATTGTAGTGTATGTACATTGTGATTGTTATTTTTTGCATTATTGTCACATATTCTCATATACAAATACTCTTTGTTTTCTCCATTTTGCCATAGATACTGTATTTATTCAAATACAGCATTTTACACACAGCTATCGTATTCAAATAAATTGCTCCATATGTTAGAACTTCTGGAATCCCTAATATGATATTTTTGACTCATTTACCCCTGAAGACACATTTGAACTCTTCCAATTCAAAGGTTGGAATACTTCATTATGAAATTTCAGGGGTGAATGAGTTATTTTGGTAAACGAAAATATTGTACATCCAGCATCAAATAAAACTGATTAAGACCGATTTGATAACCATGAGCTAGAAATCTATATCGAGCAATTATCAAAATTAATTCTTGTTTTTCAAGAGGTTGAAGTGATCTAAAATACTTTTCAGGAAAGCATTGGTCTTTCGAAGACATAATTTGGCATCTATATACTGTAATAATAATATTTAAATTGAATTATAAAACTATAATTATGTTTTTGAGAACAAAAACAGATGTCTCCCCTTATTAGCCAATAGAAAAACTCTGGTATAAAAAATTAACAAAGGGCCATATCGCTTTATATAGTGGGGGCACGAGACCCAAATTTAGAATTTGACACTCCTACTTACCAAGATACATTAAAACTTTGGTCAACGTAGGTGAAACTAGAACACTGACAGGTCAGTAAGGGCCCCGTCTTGTGGCAATATATCCCCCATAATCATCAAGACAAACTAGAACACTGATAGGTCAGTAAGGGCCCCGCCTTGTGGCAATATATCCCCCATAATCATCAAGAAGCAATCTGCCCATATTCGAAGGGGAGACATAATTATCTATCATTACTAAATATTATTGGAAACTTGATATAAATGACAAAGGTATGACATCATTCAAACAAAAATATTTATTCATAGTACCAGCACGACAAAATTGAATAAAATATAGAAGGTGAAATAAACAGGTTTTATTGTTTAGGGTAAACAATGTTTTAATACACATATTCTCTCAATACAAATATTTAAAATTGTCAAGTCGCAAAAATTTGCACTTATAAAAATGTCCCTTTTTAATGCATAAATTATCCACAAATATATGGGTCAAGGTCACAAATAATCAATATTATCTGATTAAAGAAATGTTTCCTCTGCACATTGTAAATAAAATGACAATAATGATAAATTGGACTAAAAGGCAACGCCCATACAGATGTATGAAATAATTTATTAAAGAGGAATTTTCAACTAAAATGATTACTTATTCTCCTCAAATAATATTTCTGTGCGAAGCTAAACAATCGGGATTTCACTTATTAACATGATTCTAACTCTACTGAAAAATGCCAAACTAAGCTCAATTTACCCGAAATCAAAACATATGATTATCTATGTTATAATATATTACACAAACCAAAACGAAATATACAGCAGTAATGCAATGCTATTATGAATGTTCACATATATTACTGTTATTTGGAAATGACTCTTTGACCCTGACCCATATAAGGCAGCAGTTATAGAAAAAATACTAGGATTTAAATATTATGACTGTTTATTAGAAACATATTTGGGATATTTCTTAATAATATGGAATAAATATGTTTCTCGTCAGTTTCTGAAGGGGAAACAGAAGAAATAAGAGAGAAACATGAAAGATTGCCAAATTGAAATTTGTAGAATGAAAAATGTTTTAAAGAACTATATAAAAATAAATGAATCTAAAAACATAAAATTATTATGGCCCCATGCATTATCTGAAATTTCTTCCCATCCCTCCCTCTCTCTCAAAGTTTAACTGTTTAACAGCCATTTGAATATATATTTTCAAGACACTAACAGGATATAGAGATACAAAATTAAAAAATGTAAAGTATAAAAATACAGAAGAAAAAATGTAGAAAAACAAAACAAAACCTGTCTAAAGCTTTAAGATTGTTCACTATTCTTGCAAGAGCAGAGCTCCTGAACATAGCCTAACTTCACAATTGTCTACAATTCTGAAAAGAGATTGATATCCTAAAGGATATATTTCTAGTTTAATAATGAATTCCATTTTACAGGTGAAAGCATATAATATTAAGAATTAAAGCAATTTGGTCCTCTAATTCAGATATTGTAATAGTTAGATATATAAGATAGGATTGGATTGTAAAATAAACATGCATATTGTATGCAATTTACATAGATACCATTATTTATCAGAAAATAGTTGAACATTTTGAAAATGTAATAATGTTCACCAAGGTTTCTCCTCTATTTTCTTAGCAATTTAATTTCAATACTTGTATCAAAATAGATCAATCGAGTATGTAGCCGATATGTATGAAAAAAAATCAACAACAAAAATTTGATATGCTTTCAGAAAAAGTGTTTCTTAAAAAATCGCTGTACGCTAAAAGCAACATGTTACAAAGTTTAGTACTTGAACACAAATGTGCCATGCCTTAAAAGGTTTTCTATAAAATGTTTTTGAAGGTGTTTTTTTTTAATTTGATAAACATACATAAAAGGGTGGGTAATGCAAGCAGTGAAAAGTTGATGTCAAGAATATAATTAAATGTGGATCAGAAATATACTTTTAGGCTTATATTTGGGACAATGATGTAGTATATTTATTTTAAAGATTTTATGAATATTCAGATTGCTTAAACATTAACGACTCACAGCACCTGCTTATATATTATGACAGTCTTCCGTTAAACAGATATAGATTAAGGATCCCCGTACCACTACTTTGATAAATTAAAGCATACATTTCGAGGCTTTAAATTACGGGGGGGGGGGAAATATGAAAGAAACGAATATAATCAACGACAGTTGTTCCGAGTGTAAAAGATCAGTGGTGCTAGACTTGAAATTTGAACCCTGACTTCAGATTCAGTTACCAGGCAACAGAAGTGCCCTGGCCAAACTGTAGGTGCTACAGTTATATCAAAACGGAAGTTAAGGGGAGGTTACTGTTATTGGAAAAGCCACAGTGCATTCCAATAGTCTGGTACCATTGTTCAATACTTCATTAACCCTGACCATTATACCAGACTATCATTGATCAGAACAATGTTTAACCTTTTAAACTATACTGCATGTACTGAATGCTGAATGAAAAGGAATTCCTACTTCAAAATACAAGCATACATATATGTACAGAAGAATAATATTTTGTGTAAAAAACAAATTGAACATTTTTTAAAAATAAATGTTCAATATTTACAATGACAATATGGATAAATATAAGTAAAATGTGTCTTTGTACAATCAATAAATATGTTTTTATATATATATAAATATGACAACTATAGATCTTACTATACATTTATTGTAATTCTACTCTATAATAAAAGAGAAACATTAGCATATTTGACCCAGAAATCAAACGCACTCTCTCGTGGACATGGCACGGTGAACAGATATTCATGTTTAGATATATTCTGCAGACAGGAATATGTATTTTGCATTGTGAGAAGTTGATAATGAATAAACCCAAATGTTCGTTGTGTATAAACATTCGTGGTTTTCGTAGTTGCTATTGAACCACGAATATAAATACAACGAATTTGAATGATATACGTGTCTGCTGTTTGTTAATATAGGAAATCCACAAAAGTTTGTACCACAAAGTGGTCTAAATGGCTTCAAACCACGATTGAAACTACCCACCAACATTTTGTGTTATACAGTATTGTATAAGGCACAAACTTTTTCAACAGACTCCATAGTCCAAATTAGCATTTCACATTTTGTCATTTTTTTTCTTTCACTTTTATTCTTTTTGGTTCACTGGGTCAAATATTAAAATACAATCTCAAATCACACATCATTCAGGCACAAATGATTCTAGCACAAAATCTAACAATTAAGGCGCTGAATTATCTGTGATAATCAGCACAAATTATTAATCTACATCGTTCAGTTAGGTATTTGTATTCACATTATATAGAGATGGGAATTTGTTTCAGGTTGGAATTTTCCAGTAAAATCTGTCTGTGAATTAGTGAGATCAGACTTTATAAAAAGTATAAAAACTGATTTTTTCATATTGCTAAAGGATACAGTTTTAAAGCAAATAAATACTTCGTGTAAATGTTCACCGGATTTGCAGATAGAAGAGATAATTGCCACTTTTCACTGACTTTGCCAATTGAAGAGGTGATCACTTATAATTATTGGTCTCCCAAGACAAGTTAAACTGAAGTAGGGAATTAGCTAGTATTGAGCACGGTAATTACATACTCTTTTCATAACCAGCTTGTCCTACACTGAAAAGTATAAAACTAGCTCAGTATTATTAACAATCTTCAGCAGTAATTTAAGAATTTTCTTGATAAAATTTCATCTTCGTATTAACAATTCTTAAACAGTTTGGTCAACAAACTCTCACATGTAATGACTCCATACATATTGGATATTAATAATAATAGCAATACCTATCAAATCACCATACGCATCTATGTATGTGTATATTTATATACAGTACTGGTAAATGATTTTACTTAACCATAAAATTCCAGGTGATAAAAAGTATCTACTCGGTAAGTTGTCTTTCTAAAATACTAAACAATGAATTAACAAATAACAGCAAATCTGATAAAAAAAAAAAATTGTGAAAGCTCTGGAAGTATCTTATCACAAAGTATTTCCCATCATATGGCACTGCCACTATGTAACCCTACCAAATTCAGACGGCATTCATAACAGCTATGACTGCCATTGCATGATTTGTTGATGTCATCATTATTGCAACATTAATACATAATTATATTATTGGATACCACTGGCCCTCCCTAGAAGATGGCTGTACAATTCAACATGATGCATACACCAAACTAAATGCTGAATTTCTCTTAATGAATCAAAAATAAAAAAAATTGAGATTGAAATTCTCCAAAAAAACATTAACTGCAAATGACAAATTCAACAGTAAGTACCTGTCTGCTTTTATGGAACTTGTGATTTCATTTTATTTTTAACTGTTTATATATCTATCAAGTGTTTGTATTTACTTGTTTTTCAATACACATCAAATAAAGTTTAAACTCAATCAAAAAAAAAATTGTGGTCCATTTTGTACAAGAAATTTAATTTTTTGATAAATGATGTTGAATATTCTTTATCAAAATTATTTCTGATTGGTTCCTGTAAAGCATTTGGATAATCATTAATGTCAAGGATAATATTGTATGTCATGGTGTTAGAAAAGGATTTTCTCGTTCAATTCAAATGGGACATTTTCGAGAACCAGAGACATCTGAAATTTCGAACTACAGTAAGCCTGGTAGGGAAGCAGCTTTATAGTATTCTCTACTGAATGTATAAAAACAACCTATAGCTAATGTGAACAACAACCACTGAATTAAATTAAATATTTAGCCCTTCTTTGCCATACATGTATTTGTAATGATTTTATAATTTGGACAGGGAAAACAACAGAAATCTAATGCTTGGTAATAATTTTTTGAGGATGGGGTAAATAAAGTTTCTGATGACTTAATATGAAAAATTAATACTTAAATGAAATATGAGTGATATAAATATGATCATGAAATCTTGGGAACTGCTCTTAATAATATACCTGATTGGTAACGGAGTTATTGAGCACATATATAAATTTGCACAGAAAAAGGTGGATAACTCCAGTAAATCATCTCATCATTCACACTTACACATCCTTTCCTTCCATAAATATATCTATTTTGCATGAAGGTCAATGAATCATTCATATTATACTGCAATTGATCAACATTCTTACAATCCATCAGGCATATAGCACACAAATGTCTTCATACACAATAGGTTAGATTCTACGTCCAAATGTAGGTGTACTGAACTTTCCAGGAAAACAATGCCCAAGACTAGATTATCAAGGAAGTAAAAAGGATGAGTTCAACTCAATGGATTACATCAGGTTTTGATGAAAATGTGGTTACTTAATTTTCTTTGAAAAATTCACTTTTCATGTTGTGTTAACTTCTTTAAAATTCATTTCTTTTTTAATAGGTCAAAAGGAAATTAAATCCAAATTGTATAAATATTATTTAAAAAAAATTAGTTAAGTACATTCACATTCTAATACTAAAGATTCAATTATTGCCTCAAGATATAAGATTTTTAATTATAGCTCAACAAAATTGATTTTACTTTCAGGATTTTAAATGGCAATGAATTGAAAAAGTGAATGTATTCAATGATATTTCAAATTTAAACTAGACAAATAGTAATGATACCTGTATAACATTCAGCAAGAACACATTTTCAGAAATTTTTAAATAAATTTATCAAAATTTTACTTCAATACCTAACAGGACATTAATATCCATCATCCACTTGATTATCAAGCTTCTGTTTGGAAAGTGTTGTACAGGTCTTAACTATTGGTTCCTATTTAACTTGTAGAATCAACATAATATGAGACTTAATTAATATAACTAAATCACTTGGTGGTGTATGAACATTAAATACAAAGGCTTTGCTGTCTCACCTATGAAATACATTGTAATGAAAGACTGTCAGCTACACTTGGAAAATGTTTGTTTTAAATAAATTTTCAGGCAGGAAACGGAAAATTACATTGGGAATTTACACCAATTTCATTTATACTCATTTTACCGTGATTATCAATAAACTATGATGCTATGATTTGTCTACAAACTACCTATTTGTTCACAAAAAATTGCATAGAGTTAAAGAGTATTGCTTTCAATAGTAACAGACAATGTAATATTTTTCTGAAAGAGTTTTTCAATAGTGAGTTGCTTTTCTAAGTCCCTTTCAATAGCTGATAGTTTATCAGGAAATAGAAAAATAACATTGGAAATTTACACCAATTCCATATTGAAATATCACCAGTATTTTTTAAATATCTTCAGTAGAATTAAAAACTTTTGAATATTCTAAACACGAGACTTGTCCTTGCGGGGGTTGATTAAACTGAAGTGAACATTGATAATCAAAAATTAAACACCTCACAAAAATGAACTCATTCACCCCTACATATTTAAACTGGACTTGCCTAGTCTTTGATTTGGTAAGGTTCAAATGTGACTTTAGGAGTGAATGGGTTAATTTTAAGATACTTCTAAAATGTCTAGACGGACTGGTTTATTGGAATACTATAATCACAGATTTTTCCAATTGAATAGTTGTGTTCTCGGTTTTTTCCCATTACTCAATATTCACAGTCAGTAGGTAGTAAAATCTCAAGATTATGTCAAAGCACAGAGGTAAATTGTTATAGCCAATATCAGAGCAGGATTGAGATCTACACAGAACGTTAGCTCCACAAGAGCTTCCCTGGTCTTTAAAGCCATTCAAACACTGTCTCGAACCTATAGCATTGCCTATATATTATTGAAGTCAGCTAGTTTTAAAAGAGTGTTTGCTGACCATCAACCTTAGTGTCTTATGTCATCTCTTGACCGGTAAATCACATCTGACTGATCCTCATTTATCCTTCTTTTTTTCCATATGGCCGTTGGACACTGATGAACCGTTTTTGGATTTTTTGCTATTTTCTGTCACTTTTCCGTTTATTTCTCCATTAGCTGTTGCTTCTTTTACTGGTTTCTGTTAAAATACAAATAATACAAGTTACACAATGTCCATCAAATATATCAACATATGAAACATAGGACTGGGATTTTTTCACCCCTATGTAACTTTAGTAGACTCTACCATGCATTGATATGGATGAGTCCATTATGGTCTACAGTGGTGAAAGAGTTAAGTTATTATTTCTCCACAATTCTTGATATGGACAGGTTGGATATACCATAAATATTGGTTTTGATATGCAAGAAATGATAAAATGACGTAACAAAATTAACAAAACCATAGTTATATCCGCCAGCAAAGTCACACAAGATTATTCAATTCTCCCAAAAAATGGTCATTTTTAAAAATTTAATCAATTGATATCTTTTAAAATTTAATCAATTGATATCTTTTTTTCAAAGTCTAAGAGAGGCTTTCTTAACAGGATCTGGTAGTCTGCAACATATTTCTCCAAGTACCAGCAAAACTATTGGTATATCATTCGAAACATAATCAATATTTCTGTTCTAATAAACTCAAAGTCATTGCAGAACATTTTCCCCTCCATTGGCAGCCCGACCAAACAGTCAAATACAGACTTGATGCAAATGAAACAGGAAAATATATCTCTATGTCTCTGATATAGCAAACTGTGAGATCTAACAAGATTACATAGTAGACCAGGAATAATTGTTCTTCTGCAAATAATTCCAAAGATTTCAATTATATGTGCAGAAAATTTTGTAGCTCACCACATCCCACTAGGACGCATTTTCAATTTTTTTAAAGATAACTTAAATAAAAGCTTAATTTAAAAAAAAATATACAATACACAGTAATGGGTAATTATTATCTTAGAAAGGGAGTATATATATTTATAACCAATATTGATAAGTTAAGTTTGAAGTGATTAAAATTTTGAAGGTTTGGATTTCAGGAAAATGTTTTAATATGTAATGGGAGACTACCAGATTGTACCACTCCACACAAAATGTATGTGTGATGCCGCTGGCAGCTTACATTTCACAATTATTAACCAATGTCGAAATTATTATCAAATTTAAACTTTAGCATATGCAATATTATCTGAAAATAGTTTGTATCAAATTTGCAATGCTTAAATCCTTTTTTCCTACCAGATTAAGTAAAAACACAGAAAGCACATGAAAAGGGAGGTAATCTGTTAGTTGTTGCACTATAAAATTGACTGAAAATTTCCATTGATTTACCTTGCGCCTTAATGATACAATATAGGCATGGAAGTAGAAATTCAAGAACAGCATTAGTATGCTGAAGGCGTATAGGCAAAGAGCCCAATGCATCCATTCAGGGAAATCACAATGGAAAAACAGGGACTGAGCAGCGTGTATGATGCCGACGACAAACTGAATCTAAATGAAATAAAAAAAGTCAGTCAATAATTACCTGTGAATGAGCTTTGGGCTTCTTCATATAGGCTTGTATATAAAAGTTGCAGAACAGTGTGATAATTGTGACACCGTACACTAAGCCTGTGTACTGCATCCACAGAGGGAAATCACATCCCAAATACAGACTTTGAAATCCATACACCATCCCAATAAAGAATTGCAACTATGAAGAGAGAAAGAAAACAACATGCTCTTTAATACCCTCGCACCGTTGCAACGATCAATATGGTGCAAACGCAATATTTACCGAGTTCAATAAAATATTTGGTTCAAAAAAGTATTTGGTTCAATGAAATATTTGGTTCATTAAGATATTTAGTTCAGCGAAATATTTGGTTGAAATTCATTATTGGTTACTTTTATTAATTTTTATATTTTCTTTTAAAGGTTTTTAATCCACTGTAAATTGAAATTATATTTTCTGCTTATTTTTTTATTTTTTTATCACAGCTATTTCGTTTTTATTATAATGCAAACATAAAATCATTCAGAATTAACATTTCCAAAAAAATTCATACTATATTTCATAACGTGATTAATTCACATAATGAATGACAAAAACAAATCAAATCAGAATTCGTGTTGAGAAAAGTAAGCAGGTCTACATTTTCACTAAGTGTGCTCGGGTAGAGGACCTTACAAAAGTATTTCATCTTTTATGGAATTGTTCGATGAAATGTGTGCCACAAGAATGACTGGTTTATACAGATTGGCCCATTTTTAGATTAAGCATTCCATAACAATTTTACGGCAAAGCTTTTAATAAAAGATTAATCATAAGACATAAAGAATTTGGACAATTTAACAAAAATTAAATTTTCTTTTCCTTTTAAAATTGAAGCTCTTGTTTTGATGTGAAAATCATACCCAAGCCAATCTCAGACCAATCACCATATATCCGGTAATGATAACAACAAATACTTGTGTCATTGGTAAAGAACAGTACATTACCCAAATAAATTCAGACATGCAATAAGATCAATAAGAAGAAAAAACACCTCACAGAAAAGCAAGAGCAGATGAATGCACATGCTTCAAACAGCCACAAGAACATTTTACTTTACAAATAAAGCCCATGAATACATCACTTAAACTGTTTATAACATGTTTGCCGTTGATTCCTTCTTGAATAACAACACACGAATATAGCAAAATCAAACAATTTGTGAAATAGACATTTTATAACACTGCCCACTGAACACACATGATCTGAGGTACTGGGTTTTAAAACATTTTTTGACTAGTTTTTTTACCATGTTTACTTTTACCAGTTGAAAATAGTACAAATTTTTTCCAATAATCCTTTTTCTACGTTTAATTTTTTTTTATTCTAGTTTTCATTTTATATTCAGATGAATTGTAATATCTAAATTCTAAACAAAACCAAAAAATATTTCGGAATGATCGAAAAATTTATAATTTATTTTACTGTAATAACATTTCTCAATTTCGTATGCCATGTCTTTGACCATCCACTGGTGAAGCAGCGCAGTGGACAAGTCGATTTCCCGGGTTTAAATCCCTACTGGGTCAACTGCCCGACCACATTTTTTTTTTCCTGGTACTCCGATTACTGTTTCCTCCCACATTAAGACCCCCCTTTGCGCTTCCATCCGTGCCAATAAGAGTATTAACAGTTGAAAAAACTTGTTTCATAATTGTTGTAAAGTGAATAAAGTTGATATCATTTTAAGACATGCATAGACCCCATTCCCAAAATAGTAAGAGATCCAAAAAGCCCTTTAGATGTAGGTTGCTTTCCTACCACATATAAGTCAGTAAAAGGCTGTGACAATGTAAACAACTTTTTTGTTGTCATCAAATCTATGAAGAAAACGTGAAGAAAACACATTTACTAACAGTAATAATTCAATCGACAAGATATTTCAATATAATATATATATACAAATTGTGCAGAAAGTGATAAATATTCTATATTTTGATTCTATAAATTCATAAATGTCATAATATGCAAACAATGTTAAAAGCAATCTACAATACAGGGAATCCTCTTTAGTCCCCGTTTCCATGGAAACATGTCCAAAATAAAACTTTTTTTGGATAAATACACAAAAACCTTCTCTAAATTTATTCTTTTAACTGCCATCCAGCTTCTGGAATTTCGGAGCCAGGGTATTGAAAATTAAAAAAACTTTCAACTGAATGTACATTATCATAACAAACTGTCTCAAGGAACACAAATTACCATTAATTTCCCAAACAATATATTCGTTTTATATCCGATTATCAAGCTAAATTAACTTAACAGATACATTGTACTAATTGTTTTCTCCTGGCTGTTTACAGCTTATATAATTATCTCCCCTTAACTTAATTTTTCATTAGGTATTAAAACTAAAAGCTTGGCCAGCACATTTATAAAGTAACCTCCCCTTAATTTAATTTTGAGGTACTGAGCCAAGTAACCACTGCTGATCAAGTAGCTCAGTTGGGAAGAATCCAACAGGGTCAAATTAGATTTTGAACCCTGGACCTCCATATCACAATACAGTTGCTCTAATGAACAACAACATGATAGCTCTATAGATGATCAACTTATATTTATCAAGTGTTTTTTCTCAGGCGATTTATACATCATATATCTCTTATCTTATTACCATGCTGATATCTGAAGTATTTCTCCCATAAATCACAAATCTAAATTGCCTGTTCTCAATCCATTTTATACACAATGCGATTCTCATAAATATGATCATGTTTCTTTTAATAATTATCTCATTTTATATTTGTTTCTATTTCTGTTTATTGCTTTGTAAAATTAAACACTTAAATTGATTATTTTCTTGCAATCAAGTGACATGTACTTTTCAATTAGAACTATTTACATGAGGAGAAAACTTCAAAAGTTGGAAAAACTTACATCCAATTTTTTTGAATTATTTTATTTTTTTGCAAAATATGTTTAAACTTCCAGCAAAATGAAGTATAACGCCTACATCCTTTGGAGACTCAATATTTTCAGGACTAACGAGGTTCCACTGCATCTGGTATACACAACATCATATCACATCAATATTAACAGCCTATATAAAGTTAATAAGCACATTCATACACTCTAGATCTACACCTAGTGCCAAGAACTTACCAACTGGAGAATGGTAAGGTATCGCTTCCACCACAAGTACTTCTGCATGTGAGGTCCAAGGGCAGACAACCCATAGTATGAGTACATCAACACATGAATAAAGGAATTGATCATTGCTCCAAAGAAAGCTGTAAATACAAAGGTCAAAGGTCATGAATTTGAATCCCAGTCTGGCATTTTTACTCTCACGCCACCTTCAATGATTCTTGATTAAAATATGTTTCACCTTGATTTTCTTTTTTTTTTTAGAAAATGATGTAGAAAGGCTTTTCTCATGGCAGTGAAATTAATTTCAATTCACAGAGCTCTTCATTTTTTGGCACTTCATTTTTTGGCAATGTAACAGGGAACCTTAAAAGCAATTGCCATCGGAACATTTTGTTTTAAAGAATAGCCAGCTTTGACTAACAAATAAATAGGAACATTGGCCAATGGGGTAATAATGAATCATACTATATAAAATCTGGAAAAGTCCTAAAACATTCAAGATATTCGTTGAGGTTTCAAGTCGAGTTGTGACCTTTCTCAAACTCTTCTCAAAAGAGTTATATAGTATTTGCATAATAAACTCTTTCAAATGTTTTTGAACATGCATTGAAAGATAAATGTTCTCGAAATCTGAAATTACTCACACTGGCCGCCAGCGACCCACTTTACACCTATAAACCACAGAGGGAACATGGAAGCATGGTGGTACACGTGCAAGAAACTGATTTGGTTGTTCTTTTTTCTCAACACAAAAAATATTGTGTCCAACATTTCCACCAATTTGGATATATAAAACCACCATAGGGCAGAGGCAATCTGAAAATTTTGAAAACAGATAAATCATACATGATCAAAGTTAAAAATCTGTTCTTAAAGCTAGTAATTTTTTCTTAAAGTTGCTTTTTTTCGTTTTTTGATGAAAGATATTTTCAAATATATAACCTAAAGATTAATATTTAAACAAATTACACACAAAAAAAAAATCAATCTTGAAAGGACCCGACTTTTTTTCAATATTTCCAATTGAATTACAGTATTCAAAATGACCTGTTTAATTTGAAAACGGCCTCATTTATGACACAGACACCACTTACAATTTTCATTGACAAATTACCTTTAACAACTATCTTGTTGGATGTAAAAGGGTACTTTTAGGGAATGACATTCCTTACAAAATTACACTAACACACTTGAATCTATTACAGTTTATACTTTAAACCTATCAGTTTATACTTTATACTATAAACCTATCGGTGAGTTTGTAATCAATCGTTAGTGTCTCTGACTTGTTTTACTTACACTGTATTCATTAGGGTCGTACGAATACTTGACAGATTGACACTGAAGACTGTAACCAGCTCTATACGCTGATATAAAAAGCTGAAATTCAAAATTGAAAAAATATATTAAAATTATTGTCATTCTCAGATCCACATTACCAAGACAAGAAAAAAATGATCAAATTTAATATAATGAATTAAAGTTTAAATAACTTATTTATTGATGAGAGAAGATCAAATTTAAACTTCTATCAACACTAACTTAACACATGGCAATTAACAACAGTGAAATTTATATATTTTTTCTACCCTCATCCTTTTCTTATCCTTGTTTTTTTCTTTATTCCTTCAACAATTTTCCTCGATATCATGATATAGCACCAGAACCCTAAATACCTGAACTTTTTTCATTCTTGAAAAAAACATTAATTCCCATTTATGCGATGTACAGTGACAGGATTCTTCACACTTTATTGCAATTATTTCTACACAAGTAGAACATTTCACTCATTGTTATGATGTAATTAAATGATCGCTGTAAATTAAGCTCAAAATTTCAAACTAGAATTTTAATACAGTTTTCCCTACCAATAAAAAGTTGCTTGGGGTCAACTTTTTACAACACTAATATTACCAAATTAAACTATAATATATACTTACTGTTGAAGCTATATGAAAGTTCAGTGCAATAAGTCCTAAATTATAGAAAAAGAGAGTATATTTGAACTTGATGGGTTCCCTGTCGGCCATGATGCGCTTGCCGATGATGACGGAGAATATGTAAATAATGGTCAGTACAATGGTTGGAGTGTAGCTCTGCATTAGAGGCCAGTCCTTAACTCTGGGATCTGTCAAAATAAACAATCTCCTTTAACATCTTGTACATATGTATACACATCCTATTGATTAACAGTTATGGTCATTTAAGGACTAACAAGGTTTTTCGAGGTGGAGGAAAGCCAGATTACCTGGAGTAAACCCACCAACATGGGCCTAGTACCTGGTGACTGCCCAAGGTGGGCCTCAAACCTGTGACCCAGTGGTGGAGGGCCAGTGATCATAGATGGTCAGACTCCTTAACTACTTGGTCAGACTCCTTAACTACTTGGCCAATGTAGCCCCCCTCCCCAAAGTATATATTTATAGGCAGTTTTGATGAATAAGATGGGTCCATCTCACAATGGCTTAAATTCTAGTTCAACTCATTCACCCCTGAAATTTCATTATGAACTATTCCAACCTTTGAATTGGAAGAGTTCAAATGTGTCTTCAGGGGTGAATGAGTTGAACTGCTTTTCATGTTGGCTGCCCTCATATATTGGGTCATACCCTAGATATCTAATGTTGAAAGCTACAATTCAATGCGTCATTTTATTGTTGAAAATATATATACATAAGAACGAGCAAAACCCAGGAGATTCAATATGACAATATTTGCAGATATCACTCTTTATACATTTTTGTCATACTCATGTGAAGTTTGGAAGTAATCAGGCTGACAGAATGTGAACTTGAGTAACCCTGACATTGATCTCTTGTCCCCTAAAATATGATATAGGACATGATCTATACACACCGGGGGTTTGACAGTATGAAGAAGATTTATTTAACTGGATAAAACATTTTATGTACATCCTTATTCTAATTTTAGTAACAACAATAGCATCTTCGACTTCATTTCCCCCCCCAAACCAAAATAGGGATCTTGCATGTTTCTTCAATGCTGATTCAAGAAAGGGTAATCAAATCTTACATTAATTGTCCAAACTTTGTGGAAATGCAGGTGCTCACAGCATGATATATACTGAGAGGCAAATACATCAATGTGGGGGTACCAATTATTACTAGTAGTAATTTGATCACCTAAAACCTTGACATGACTATGCATATGTTTATACCATGATGCAGAGAGAGCAGACAGTTATTGCAACCTAATGAACTACTTACCTGATACAGAAACAGCCCAGTCGTAGAATTTCTGAAGTTCATAATACTTGTCTTGTATGATCTCCATCTTGACTGGATATTGTTCTTCTTTCCTTCCAATCTAAAGAGTCTGTAAATAAGCCAAATGAAATACATGTACTAAATCTTCCGGCAATAAATTCCCATTCTTTCTTATCAATAAAGTCAGCTACATAATGTAACAGTTAGGTCTGGGTTCATCTGATTTTGCAAAAATACTTGATTTATATTTGAAAATCACATTTAACAAAAAGAAATCATATTATATAATACGTTTTAAGGAAATTTATAACAAAAATAATCTATCAGTTATGATACAGTGTAACATAAAGAATCATGGACTTGAATAAGGGCCCAGTATAAAGAAATATGAAAATAAACCCTGAATTAATTTGGATGTCAGAACTGAAGGTTTCTTAATTAAAACCACAGCATTACACAGGGATAATCCTGGAGGGGGCCATATTGACCCCTCAAACTTAAATTGACCCCTCCATGTTCCAATTTTCTTTAAATTGTACATAGAATGGATCCTCTTAATTTTGATATTGAATAAAAATTGCTGAAAATGACCCACTACTCTCAAATTCCAAGATTTCCCCTGATTGCACAATCTACTGTAAATTGTACTATTCTGTTAGTACAACACAATATGTCATGTTTGAGTTTTTATGCAAAAAGTTGAATGAAACTGATCACATGATTAAGCTGACGGAACAACAATATTTCTGTTAATTTTAAATACCCGGGGTACTCTCCTTTACCTGAGCCATGCATTTACTATACTACAACTTGCTACAACAGTCAAAAGCTTAAACCTATAGAAATGACTCATGTACTATGGCATACCTAACAAGTAATCATGGAAGGTCCAAAGTCCAATTATTTTGTAGAGTTTAGATATAATACAAACATTTTTATCAAAGTGCTTGATTATCAGTTGATAATGGAACAGGACTTATAAAGTATGTGACTGGCTCACAAACTTCAGCTAAAAAATTGATTTTTAAGAACGTATTCAATAATACTGCTTTTAAAACACATCTTTTGTGTTTTCCTGGCATCCAGTGATTTCAATAGCACTTCATTTGCATGTTGACAAATTAACATGAAGATACATGTATGAATAAGGCCAAATAAAAAATCCTGTTTGATATCAATTCTCAGGTTTCCCTATATATATACCTACCGTCAAATTTTGTGCCTACCCTATACACTCTCTAATATAAACGTTATTAGAAAAAAAAGGGAAAAAATGTATTACCTAACCTATTTTTTCCCCAACATCTAACAAGCATATTTTTTGTTTGACCTGATAAAGAAGATTTCTCAAATTTAATATTTTATAATGATTAAAGAAATTAATGTTGAAGAAATCTTTATTTAATTGAATTTACATATTACAGATATAACCAAATTGTAATGATTTAAATTAGTTCAGTTTACCTATCAAAAGTAAAAAATTCTAAGGAAATTTCTGATTTGAATTGATCAACCAATAAGCACTGTGACAGCGCTTTTCATGTTGTCTTGGAGATTTGTTATATAAACAGCTCATTTGTCTTAAATGTAAATAATCAGCTCATTATAGTCAGCTTAATGAGATTGAAAAAATCAAGGATATTTATAATATAAACAACTAATTGATCTAGGAAATAGTTTATTTGCCTATATTTAGTTATTAATTTGTCACAGTTTTTGTTAATTAATAAGATAATATGGGAAATGGGGGTGGGGGTGGGTGGGGGGAAATTAGTCCCATATTAAGTACAGCTTTTCTTAGTTTTTTGTCTACAGAGGGTGCTATAGCTATATATTGTTCAATGTGTCAAACGTTTGTGAGATTAAATCTTCATTATTGACTGCAAGCATGGACAGGGTATTTAACCAGGCCATGCTCAAACCTGCTAGTACATTTGAAGATTTATTATGACAACACTTCAGTGAGTTTTTAAGCCTTACTTACTACCTATAGAGCATTGTGTGCCCGCAGTGACATGTTTACAAAGCATTGTTAGCTTGATATTCTAAACTTTTCTAAAACTTCATGTGAAATTGATGTAGTTGTGTTTGAATTTTTATTAAGGCATTTTAATGTTTCTATATCATAAATTTTTAATTAAGAATTTCATTTATAGGTTAATTTTTGTTGGCTTATCATTCAACTTGATAAAGCTGTGTCGATCAAGTTGACCCTTCCATCGATCAGTGGCGTTTAAATAGACCTACTTAGTTTCACAGTGAAATTTTCTAAAGTGACTACTATGTACTTACCACATTACCTTTACTTACTGATTTTTAACCATTCATGATGACCTTTAACATGGTTTTGATGAATAATTAAAAGTTACCCTTAATTGAACCCTCTAAGTTACCAGAATACCAATTGATAAATAATCTTTTCTGACCAGCTGACAAAAGAAAAGCTTTTGTAACATCTGACCACCTACCAATAATGATCATGCTATATACTACAATCATAACACAGGGGCATGCAACTACTACTAAGTATTGATCTTGTTTTAGGCTTTCAAGTACCCAGCGACTTAAAGCCTAAAACAAGATCAATGTTATTAGTAGTTGCATACCCCTGTGATTGGAACATGTTATTTGAGTGCACATGTACTTACATTTGTGCATGGAAATACAGCTTTCACTTAGACTTATTACAGTGTAGCATTTATTTAAGCTATTGATTTAATTTCCCAGGAACCAGCTAACATTTTATCACCAGAATTTTTAAATCAAATAACACTTTTTAAACTAAGTCACAGACCTTTCAAAATATTTTCTAAAGTTCAATTCACTTTATTATAATTATTATTTCTTTGATAATTATGATTTCTGAATTTAGGTTATTATTATTTGACACATACATGTTTTAAGTTATGTTGTAAATAGTGTTCTTGTCACTCAAAGTAAATAAAACTTAACTAACCTAGGGGTATGAAATACTTTGTGGTGCTGTCAGTACATGTATGTAAACAATATAAGTTAATAACTGTTGTGTGTGTATATATATACAGTAAATACAACATGTGTCACAATGGGATCGTTAAAAATATTTCAGTGACCATAGATCTGTCTCTTTAGGGTCATACAAATGTACCAGCCAAAGGTCGATACATACCATGTCTGTGTATAATAAATGCACAAAAATTAGAGTTCAATATTTATATAAATAAATAAAATCTTGCTAACATAAGCCACTCTAAAGCGCTTTTAGATGAATTATACATCCTGAATATGTTAATCATTAACATAACATGTTATGATTGATCTGGTCTGAATTATTCTGACGTTTTATCGACTTTTTCACATTGGTTTGTCGTCGATTAATCTACGACAAACCGATATGAAAAAGTCGATAAAACATCAGAATAATTCGGACTATGATTGATCTAGACTCTATATTATAACCATGGTGTTGTACTAAGGATTTTTCACTGGGAATGAAGCATAACACTTTTGGATTGGGGATAATAGAATTAAGTACAGTGACAATTAACTTCCTGAAAGCATCTTTTCAAGTGCTCATACTTTCATTTTACTTTACAGATTTCCACAAATAAACGACATGTTTTAACATTAAAATTGTTTTAAAGAGTTGACTTAAAGACCGATCTTTTTCATTGTGTTTTGCAATAATGGTCCGAAACAATTTCTTATTGCCTGCATAAGAACTGTGTAAACATTTTAAAAGTATTGTTTTATTATTTCTATATGAGCGTCTATCAGTTAATATAAAATGCCAATTCAAATGCTCTGTGGTTCACACTTGTATTTGACAGTAAAAAAAAATCAAGAAGTTCTCTGGGGGATTTTAATATCAGTGGGAAGCTTCAGGGTCTGTTTTAAACCCTAACTTTTAAGAGTCAAAGACTGAGGCTCGAACAGAGGTCCACGACCAGGTGGCTGGACATTACATATTGTTTAGGATTTAGTAAGCCTAATGCGAAGGGAGGAACTGTAACACAACTTGAAGCCAAGTTGCTAGTCTTATTGTCATCTCATTTATGTACCAATAATCAATATTTATCTATGACATTGCACCATAATGCAATCATTTAGCATGTAATGTTTAGGTCTGCACTGATGAATGAATGCAGTGCTATTGGCAATATATCTACTTCAGTAAATATTACTGTTAGTATGGGCCTAATGATGCATGTAACCCGATCCCTCTGATGTAGCGTTACTCGGTACAAGTTGTGACATTTGTTTTGATCTAGCATGCAAATATGATGAACCATAGAATTGTATTTAGATCTTCAGTGGCGGCCACATCTGAGCTATATTTCGCCACAGATGACGCTCTTCTTACAGGTATTACATGCAGCCTCAGCAGTATATTTCAAACCAATAGTTTGAAAACCTTTCCTAACAACTCATGTCGGGAGGCCGCCTAGCGTTCCAAAACTCATATGCCTTGCTTATCGCCCAAACTGATGTAGGACCACGAACAGCTTAGGTAACGTGGGAAACTTGAAGCGATGGAATGTTGCTTGACACAACAGACCTAAATACCTCCTAAACACGAGGTCATTCCAGATAAAACGCAAGATAAGCTTATATCGCACTAACGTTATGATGGGGGCGCGGGTCATTGTAACCAAAAGAAGCAGACGCCATTTTTCGGCGGAAGTAAATCGCCGGGTTAACGTTTTTCTACTGATCATTGAGAAATATTAACTGAAAAAGTATTAAAAAACGTAAGCAACTTACCAAATCCTATGCCGGTCGCAGAAGTAAGCACAGTTTGAACAGGAACAGATCTGTCTTAAGTGAGGGCGTTGCTAGTAACAACAGTGAAACAACCTGTCCCAGGCCTATTTTTGCTGACCTAAATGCTACCAGTCAATCACGTGAACTACCAATCAGATTCAACGTTATTTTTGCTGGGCACGTGTTTCGGATGTTTTGATTGGTTGAAATTATATGATCATATCGTAGCATGTTTTGGTGGGGTATTCCAAGTTTGTGTTCCACACATGTTTACGTTCACCAGGGAAACCATTTTCCATTCAACACCGTAACGCTTTGTTGCACTTGCAGGTATGTTAACTTAATCATATTTAATTACGCAATGTTAATATAACACTATCTGTTGTGCGTTTTTAAAATAAAGATACATATATATAAAACTGTAATTTCACGTTTCAGGAGTTAGATCGAACCACGTGTTTACAACCGATAAGATACAACTGACAGCTGTACCGTATACGATACTGTTATGCACAACACTTTTGCATTGCAGATCAGATATGTCAACGATATATCCGGAATCAGCCAGATAATTCTGTTCATAACGACGAATTCAACGGGGATTTTTGTACAAATAGTCCTGATCACCTATTAATTAATTATAATTACCTATATATATAGCATATTTACGTTGCTATTATTACAGTGATATTATCAATGAAAACTATATTACAATAGTACATGTATGTACATACCATTTGAGTGTGACCAGCACCTGTGGCTATAATCATGCAGTCATCATCATGATAATATTTTAAGACTGTTAAAGAGAAACATTATAGTTATATATATAAAGTTAAACTCCAGTTTTATATTTACATGTGTAATGTTTCATCACAGGCTTACAAATGTAGTTATAGGGAGAAGGATTGTGATTGCAAATGCGTTTTGTCAACCTCTTGTATTGTGTATGTAAACAATATTGGACTTCACAAAATTATATATACTCCAATGCTTCTTATTAGTTTCGGGTTTTATTCCCTCGAAGGAATTTAGGCTTACAACATATGTAATAACATATTACATTACAAATAGTCATTCGCTCTACACTCTCTTTCTGGACTCATACCTATTAATATCTCTCACCAATCATACTCACTACATGTACATATATATACATAGATAAATATGGACAGATAGCATCATGATGAATGCTTACTAGAGACACCAGGAAGCTTACTGGCTGCTATATACATGTTTCTATGGTACATATGCTCTGATGCAGGGGTGCCGTCGGAATGACTATGTTGGTCACCCGTAGCCGCTCCGCCTAGCCCGGACCACGTGACAGTAGCCAGGTGACACGGGTCTGAAGCCAGTGCCTATGCATGTGTTACATGCACAAATGCGCACGCTGGGACAACCTGGTTACACACTCCCCCTCTTTACAAATTGTCTCCTGGCATTTCAGGAGTACTTCCAAGACAACATATACAGATATCTGAGAAATATGAGGCTATTGTTCTAGAACCAATAGTGTAAAAGATATCAACTGAAATGAACATGTATAATAATTATTCCTGTACAGTATTTGATAAATTCGCACCAGCTCAGGTATTTACTACATTTTACATGTACATGAAAAAGCATGACAAGTCTAACTGACTTTCACGATAGTCACTTTGGTCATGTACAGATTTATGTCAGTAGATACTGGTCTTGCATTATTGACTTTTATATCTAAGTCTTGCTCCTTGTGAAACTTTGTGATTTACAGTCGACCCCATCAGCATACGAAGGTTATTCTTAGGTGAAGATGAATTTCATGAATCTAAAACAATATAGGTAGTTAAAAGGAAAGAAAACATACCGAGCCTCGGGTTAGACAACCCAAAAACATCACCTCTCGGGTTGGAGATTTCTGTCACACCCTCAAAGTAGGGGAATATTCTATTATTCCATCCTCAAATGGATCTATGAAAACTATGACGGATGAGGAAAGTCCTGAGAACTTATTTGTCAGTTTGCTTCTTTCACAATGAACATGTACTCATAAGGCCAATCCTTAAAAAAGTTTGTTTGCAGTTTCAATTTTTGTTTAATTTATATAAAAACACTGTCATTGATTTTTTTTTTATCAAGAATATAAAAAAAACTGCAAATACATTTTTTACAATGTTGATTCCCTGACATCGCTCTTTATTTACTTCTATGGTAACAATTTAGGTAAAAACTTACCGGTATTTGTATTCTATTTTCAGATTCTGGTAGCCACCTGTAAAGATGTGGTCACTAACTAGAATCTACCATGAGTATAACTGGGTAATGAAAGATGCAACAGGTAAATATATTCTAGGCCAAAATTACATTGTATCAGCTGTGCTGTTAATTGGCAAGAATCAATCGGTTATCATAATTTCTTTTGTTTTTAATGTAAACTTTATTTATTTTACAACCATTACGAAAACAAGTTAGTACAACTTATATTAATCACTCTTGTTGGCCCCGATGTTAGCATGCAGGGGCTGTTCTTGTGGGAGAAAACCCACATCGTCGAGCAGGTGCATGACCCCATACCTTTTCACGTCCGATCGGGGAATTGAACCCCGGCCGCCTTGGTGAAAGGCATGTGCTAGCTATCCACTGCGCCACTCGACCACCAAACCGTAATTTCTTGCATACTGCCTGTGCTGTAGGCAATGCATACCAGATTCACTTCCAAATCAAGTACAATGTAGCTCTCACCTGTACTTAATTAGCTATATAAAAAAATGTTTGTAATCGATGCTTTTGGTTTTGATACACTTATGTTTTTTTGTTTTTTTTAATATTCCCTTGGGGATAATCCTTGAGGGGGCCATGGAGCCATTGACTTCCCAAAACTGAAATTGACCCCTCCATTTCCTTATTTTCTTTTAATTTTTTTGATATTGACTAAAAATTGACTGAAATGGCCCAATGCTCTCAAATTCGAAGATTTCCCCTGTATCCTCGATAATGCCATTCATTATTTTGATGTCAACTGCCATGACAATCACTTAAGTACTTTACTAAACACTCCACATAGACAAATTATAATGCAGTTACAGTAAAATGAACCCCCTTTTCATGCATACGTTCGATAACTAAATTGAAAATAAATATTTTACTGTCATTTTGTTTATGATTAAGATGTATATACTATAAAAACTGAGGGACATAGTTTTGACTATGACATCTGGAAATTAACCTGCATTCACATTTAAAAAACAAAACAAACATTTTCTAACATACTTTCTATCACACCTGGTCACTTCGGTACGCGATATGATTAAATGATAACCACCCTTTACCAGCTTTGAGACAATGAGCTATTATGCCTTAACCTCAAGCAATAATTACCCAAACCCGATGTTAATGCCGCGGGCTGACATATTAAGTGCTAACACCCTCACTATAGCCAGGTAATTATATACACAACATTTATGTATAATATTTCAGTGTGTACAGTAAAGTGTCGATAAATTGACAGGATTGTAAGATGACTGGATTAAAGGGCCAATCTATCCCCTAAAACACTGATTTGACTGCAAGACAACTGTATTATTGGTCAGTGGCGGACCCAGGGGTGTTGCCCTAGTTGCCCGGGCAACACCCTTTTTTCTGTGTCCAAAAATTACCTGGACTTAGGTTTTTGAAGATTTTCCTCTTTTTCATATGGGATTTTCTTTTAATATCAAATGCAACCATCCCATGAATTATGAATTTCTATGGCAAGCAGCAGTTTGAATATCTATATTCCTAAGGGTGCAGTTGCACAAACAAGGGGTCAACTACTTATACTCTAAACAATAGGGGATTAATCCTCTTTTGTTTATATATTAGTAGGGTCTCCAATCAGGTCAGTGATGAAGGCTACCTATACTAATCGTATTGTTCTAATGTCACGGTGTGGTTGGTGATCACCCTGTCCGTTGAGAGAGGATAAACCATCTGTTGGAATTAGGTATATATGTTAATTGTTATTTCAAAGGTAGAGTCCATTTCATGATAGATATAAACCTGTATTTTCACCTGTGGTTTCATGTACACATGATCACCAGGAGTGATTTATTATACCTATTAAAAAATGTAAATTTCAAAAATTTCAAAGACAATAAAAGCATCCACCTTTTTCATCAAAAGCCTGGCATGTATATATATCCTTTTCAACAAGTGTTGCCCTTGTAAATGTACATATGCATGCATACAAATTCACAATAAAAGACAAACAGTCAAATCATAATTCATATTTATGACAAAATAAATCAATATTGAATTGCCAAAATGCTCGCCTAAACTACATGCACATGAAAGGCATGACACAAACACCAACATTTAAACCAAAAACCAACATTTTTACCATTGTTTCAGAGGCCATCATAAAATATAAATACTCTATGTTATAAAATATAACCTGGAATAATATCGCAAACTCAGAAAACTATTCTATGCCTTATTCGATCTGTTTGACAATGGAAATAATGTCCGATAAATTCTAGCTTTCTACGCTTGGCAGTGCTTGAACAAGTTTAGTATTACATCTTCAGAAAAAAAAATCGCCTCGCTCTGCTCGGCAGGCAAATTACAATTGTCACAATCTCAGAAATAATGAAGTTCTATATATTGTTTGGTGCCAGAAAGTAGTATACCTGTGCAACCGCCATGACAATTATAATTTATTAGTTTTTTGAGTCTTTTTCTGAGTTTAAAATTTTGGGCAACACCCAAAATTAATTCCTGGGTCCCCCCTGTTGGTAGTACTATGCAGACATCTCTTCTGATTTCACAAGTAATATTATTGATCAAGCCCTAATATGTTTAAATTCATTCAATTACGAAGTCGAAGTATCAATGAACTTCATAATTTTTAATTAGTTTTATGCTCCAGGAAAAAGATTTGGAGAGCATGCTGGTACAATGTATATAAAATCACCATTTTGTTTGTGTGTCTGAAAGGTTCAGGTCATAACTTCTGATTGGCTGAAGATAGCTTCAGAATAGAATTTTAGGGAAATATGAAGGATGGGTAGACAGGGTATTGGGTATACCTTTATTGGGTCTGTGCGTTCATCAAGTTCAAGGTGACATTGAGGTCAAAGGTCAAAATCATTATCTGGGCCGTACTTTCTGACTCAATGAAAATTTAGCGATATATGTAAGATGGTAAGACAGTGTGTCACATACCACTTTTTGGTCTGTATGCCTTATAAGGTCAAGGGCACATTTAGGTCAGAGGTCAAATTCATTATCTGGGCCAATCATTTCTGTCTTTCCCAGGATAACTCAATGAAATTTTAGGGATATATGTAGGTCTGCATGCCCAAGATTATGGTCAAAATATTAATGAGGTCAGAAGTTAAATTCACCATAACTTCTGCCTTCCTGAAGTTTGATATGGTTCAATGGGATATATGTAAGGTAGAAAGGTGGTGTGACACATGGCATATTTTTGGTATGTGTGCCTAAGGTCAAGATCACATTGAGGTCAAAAATCAAATTTATTGTCCGGGCCATAACTTCTTTTCAGGGAGCAGATTTACCCCTATATTTAACACTATCGAGAGAGAAAAAGTAGAAAAAGTTATTTGTAGACCTGTCCATGCCTAAGAACGAGAGGTCCAGCATTTGTAGTTTACTGTATTTAATGTGTCCCCATGCAGTCGATGGCTTTGTAGAGGAGTCCACTAGTGCAGCCATTTTAATATAGAAGTGATTATAATATAAACATGGATGACAACATGACAACAATCAGCAACTTTGATGTTGACATGTCTTGTCAGCGTCAAAACAATGATGACAAATTGAAAAGTGCATAGGTAAGGAAATGCTTTGCGTCATTAACCGAATCAATGCTAACATATCGTATATTTATATGCATAGTTTGTCTGTCACAGTTGACTTTGCTGGTCACATATCATGATTACAACCCGTTACCTCGACATTAGACACTGTTGTGTGATCAGATGGCACATTGGATAATGCACTCGCCTTTCACCAAGACGCCCTGGGTTCAATTCTCTGATGGGACGCGAAAAAAATGATATGGGGTCACTTGTCCGGCAATGTGGGTTTTCTCCAGGTACTCTGGTTTCCTTCCACGCTAAGACCCCTGAGTGCCACTGCGCTATCCACTGTGCCAACCAACCACCCACATATACATGCCAGAACTCACGGCGTGAGGCAACATCTCACGGATTTTAATTCACCTCCGATAAAGTCCCACGGCGTGGAACATGAATTTATGGAAAGTCCTCAAACCATTTTCCTGTTGTTGTTAACTCGAAGTAAAATCTGCTTCCCCAGTATATCTCAACTATGTGATATTTTGTTTTATTAACTTTATCCTATTAAATGTATATAATCAATTTCAATTTATACAAAAAAAACCTGTCAAAGTCAAAATGAAGTTCCTTACTTAAAAAAATTGTGCTTTATTTCAATAATTTAGTTGAGTAAAATAGTCTTTTTGCCGTGAAAAACGCCGCGACTTTTTGCTGTGAAAAACGTCGCGACTAAAACCTCCCTTATTTTCACCTCAATTCCCTATGAGTTTTACAATCATTGGGAATTGAGGTGAAAATAAGGGAGGTTTTAGTCACTGATTGATCTCCAAGAATTCTGGCATGTGTGCACCCGATTGATGTCGTCAGATCATATCTGTTTTCTATATTTTATAGATATCAGCTGTCTTTTATTATAGAGAGGTTAAACATCCTTGTATTTCAAAATGTTATTGATAGATTATGTGTATATATATACATGTATGTATACATATATATACAATTGTCACATCAATATCAAAATTGACATCTTAATGTTGTATGTACACTGACCAAGTTATACATTTTTTATTTGCTTTTCATCACTTTCATTTTTAATGATGTTTTTTAAAATAGTAAATGTATTCAGATTCATGTCATGGCCATGTTTTTACTTCCCAGATCAGTGTCATCTGCAATTATAATGATGACAATGATAATTCGAGGTTATATACTGCTTTATCACAACCTAGTTCATAGGTGGTCTCAAAGCGATTCACAAATTGTTATCCCTGATTATAGGGCCTTTGCAAGCAGCTAATAACTTTCTCAACTCCCTTGGGAGCATACAGCTGGTGCTGCCATTTCAGCGCTCACAGCTAGCATTCAACAAATCAGAGACCTAAAGTAAATTTAGGTCTATGAACAAATCTAGCACTGCCCAACCACATATTCATCTATAGCTGATCATGAGTAGACTGGAACACGAGGAATAAAGTATCTTGCTCAAAGATACAAGGCAGTGCCGTGACTTGAACCTGCAATCCTTTGGTCACGAGCCCAGTGTCCTACCACTAGACTACCGTCCCTCCCAATTGTAAATTGTTTTCCCGATTTTGTGTTTTTTGTCATGCATTTATTTTCTAATACAATGGTGATTAAAACAGATAACGAAAAAAGATCCAGATAAAAAAGGGGAAGTGGAAGATTTTAAAATGTCCAGAGGTTGAATATAAATCTGGAAGATGTATGATTTTTATATTACCTTACATATACCTGTGATCTGTGTTAGAGTTAAGGCTTTATGCTACCTTACATATACCTGTGATCTGTGTTAGAGTTAAGGCTTTATGCTACCTTACATATACCTGTGGTCTGTGTTAGAGTTAAGGCTATATGCTACCTTACATATACCTGTGATCTGTGTTAGAGTTAAGGCTTTATGCTACCTTACATATACCTGTGATCTGTGTTAGAGTTAAGGCTTTATGCTACCTAACATATACCTGTGATCTGTGTTTAAGTTAAGGTTATAGTCTACTTTATCTATACCTTAGATAATATTAAAATCAAGGTTCTATATTATATTACATTAATTAAGGTTATATGTTACTTTATATACCTTTGACCGGTATTAGAGTTCAGGTTATGTGTTACCTTCATGTTTTTTTTGTACAGGATTTGGAAGCAAATATGAAACCACATTATTTATTTTTTATATTAAATGGCATTGATATTAAATTATCATTAATGTAGAGAATTTCTGTTTTCGTTCCAGATCCACGTACATCGGGATGGTTGTTGATGACATCACCCTGGCCGACGGTGTCTCTGGTGATCTTGTACCTTATCCTCGTCATACAGGGTCAGCGATGGATGCGGGACAGAAAGGCACTGGAAATAAAAAACGGCCTTATGGTTTACAACTTCTGTCTCGTTCTCCTTAATGCTTACATATTTTACGAGGTAAATCTCCGACATTTTCAGTTTGCTTTACTTGTACAATATTTCATATGTTCATTATAGTGAATGAGGAAATTATATTCTACGCGAAAATGTGTATAGTTAATCAATACCAAAATTGATGTACCAGTAAATTTGTAAAGTTTTTGTAAAAATCAACACTATGAAGTACCAGTGTGAGCTTATGTGGTGGTGTTTAGATTGTCGTCCCTCCAAGTTTTGCATTTAACTACATCTTAATATCTTGAACTAAATCAAGATGGTGTTCCTCAGAAACAGACGACATCACAAGTTAAGAACTTTTGATGGTGCCAAAATTTGAATTGATACATTGAAACTGTTAAAAATTCATGAAATTTTCTGTTATTTTATGTGTTTGACAGTTTTTGATGACATCATGGTTGAATCCTGCTTTTAATAAAGGGTGTCAAACCATGGATTATTCTACCAACGAACTGCCTCTCAGGGTAAGACATTGAGTATTAAAGTACACACGATATTTGCCAAAGTATCCCTTTAGGATACAGTTACACCTGCTGTTCAAGAGACTATGTGACCCTGAGTGCATACTGTATTCTATCGATAGAGCCATGCCGCTAAAGTATTGACTTGCAATATGAAACAAAAGTGGATGATATTATTTTCTCTCATTTCCTTGTGTGTAAGATAGAGCTGTCCAGGGTAAGAAAGGGGTGTAGGAAATTTCTATCTTACACCCCATTTCACTTGACGTGACGTCACAATGGCTCAACAATGACGTGATGTCACAAATTTGGAACTGTCTGATGCCGCATTGCGGAAAAGGCGACGGGATGTAATTAAAACCTTTTAAAAAAACAATACATTAACTGAACACGTTCGAAAGAGGTGATTAATTTTTCTTCCCAATGCAAACATGGGATATGCTAAACCTGGCTTGCTAATTTGTTTTCGTCTAAAATGTTCAGGGAAAAAATATATATTTTCAAAATGGTGGCCAGTTAAAACGCGTTTTCAATGGTTTCTGAGCTTATTCCTGTGGTTGGAATGAGAGAAAAATACTCTTTCATGCCCAAGGGTGTAGGATAGGGAAATTCCACCCTCGGGATTTTCAAATTTGGCAAAACCCGAAGCCTTAATTGAAAACCCCTCAGCATGAAAGAGTCTTATAATAATATCATCTGCTGGAGGTATTGTGATATGTTTACTTTAAAATGTTGATAGCTTTATCAATCATGTCACATATAATTTACTTCTCTAAAATTATTTAAAATAACTACAACTCATCCTTATTGGTTCCAACACAGTAAGTAGAAGCTACAGAATAGCATAATGGGATAATTCTATGTTATCTGCAATATTATTTCTGTTGTGAATGTCACACTAATTTCTCACTTACTCAGAGAAAAAAATCTCAATATTTTTTACCAGAACTCACTGAAATTATTTTACTTATTTCACTATTCTGCTCTGGAAAGTTATGGCATGTATGATTATACCTTTTTATGAAAAGTGAACAAAATTTACTGGAATTTATAACTATGGTATAAAGAATTTATAACTATGGTATAAAGAATTTATAACTAGGTATAAAGAATTTATAACTATGGTATAAAGATTTTATAACTAGGTATAAAGAATTTATAACTATGGTATAAAAAACCATCAATATTGTATTTGCAAAAAGATGTTTTCTCTAAAATCTGATTTTTTTTAATGTTATAATTATTTGAATACACCAGTATTTGATGACTGTATTTTGTTGCAAGTAGATATATCAAAGGATAGAAAAAAGTTATTAACGGGAATTTATTTCATTACTTCATTTGTTTTACTTTAATGGGAACTGTACATGTTGTGACAGTTAAAACATATTCTATTCAATACATCAAAACAATATATGTTGTCAGTAGGGTCTGTTTACATTTTGTTAATTAAATCATGCTACTTTTTGAACTCATTCACTCCTCCGGACACATTTGAACTCTTCCAATTCAATGGTTAGAATAGTTCATTTTGAAATTTCAGGGGTGAATTAGTTCAACTTCACAGCTTTAATTTTGTATTCTTTTCAGCTGGCAAAGGTATGCTGGTGGTACTACTTCTCCAAGATAATAGAATTCATGGATACAGTAAGTAAAATACAACTGATATTGAGTTCCATTCATTTATAAAATGCTGATCATTAAAAACCATATCCCTTGTATACAACTTTAATAAACTAAAAAGCATAGAGTAGTGGTACTTGATCCATAGGTTACTGGGATGAAGGGCTTATAAATCATATCAAATAATTTACCTTGACCCACATTCAAGGTCACAAGGGTCAAATGTGTTGAAATGCATTTCAAACAAATTATTGATATTCTAGCGTTATAAGTTTACTAGTGACAGTGCCAAATGGAGAATATTTGGTTAGATAATTGAGAAAAACACTAGATATTTCTAATGAACCACTGCACAAAAGAGGAATGGTATGAAATTCGCGTAAACATCGCTGCTTGAATTTCAATATGTATAGATCAAGTTTTACACAATTGTCACAAGCCAGTTAATTGCTTTATACAGACAGGAAACAACGCAGCTGGCATCTGTGTAGGAAGTGTTGGTGATCAGGAAGTACATGACTGATGACTCATGGTCTCATTAAACATTGATAGTTACTCTGGCTCAGCTGTGTATCTGTGGTCAGAGAAAACTGTTACCATGGTGATATATACTTCATAGTAACCATGACAACAACATCCCTGGGGTAGGGGATATAAACTCTAGCTAAACTGTGTATCATGGTAGTCAGAGGGCACTGTTACCATGTTGATACATTCTTCATTGTAACCATGGAAACAATGTCCCTGGGCTAGGGGATAGAAATTTGGGCTCAACTGTGTAACATGGTAGTCAGAGAAAACTGTTACCATGGTGATACATACTTCATTTTAACCATGACAACAACGTCCATGGGGTAGCGGTTAGAAACTCTTGCTCAACTGTGTATATAGGTAGTCGGAGAAAACTGTTACCATGGTGATATATATGCTTCATTGTAACCATGACAACAACACCCCTGGGGTAGGTGGATAGAAACTCTGGCTCAGCTGTGTACTTCAGTGTAATCATGACAATAGCTTCCCTTGAGGGGCATGCTATCTGTTTCACTCTTGTAACAAGAGACCCAGAGGGCCTGTATCGCTCACCTGGATACATATGCAATCAAGGCAAAATATTCTCCAAATGAGATCAAAGGAATATGCCGTACCTCAAGGCCAATCCTTGTAGCATATCTGTATTATATTTTTCATACCCAGCAATTTTAGGTATGGTTATGGGGTGGGGATCTCAACTGTTTCCAAGCTTTGACTCAGAAACAAGGTCCCCAGGGTTATGGCCAGACCCCAGGATCAATTCTAATATCGTGTTATGACCCAGGGGTTAAGTCTGCATTTCTAATATCATGACTGCATTGGTCTCTTTATGCCCAACAATTGTATATATAAAGTTTTGGGGTGGAGATCTTAACCATTTCAAATTTATGACCCAGGGGTTAAGTCTCCAATGGTGGGGCAGTCCCCAAGGCCATCCTGGAAGCATATGTGCAATCGTCTCTTTATACTCAGCAATTGTATATAAGGTTATAGGGTGGGCCTCTCAACTGTTTCCAAGCTGTGACTAAGAAACTAGGTCCCTAGGGGTTCGGTCAGACCCCAGGGTCTATTCTGATATCATGACTGCATTCATCTCTTTATGCCCAGCATTTGTATATATAGTTTTGGGGTGGCGATCTCAACATTTTAAAGTTATGGCCCGGGGACTATGTCTCCAAGGGGGGGGCCAGACCCTAGGGCCATCCTGGAAGCAAATGTGCATTCTTCTCTTCATACTCAGCAATTGTATACCATGGTTATATGGTGGGGATCTCAACCATTTCCAAGTAATACACTTTTTCTGGCCCCACCCCTTAGCCCGGGGGGTCAGCCCCATCATTTGTACAATTTTGAATCCCTGCCTCCTATGAATGCTTCCGACCAAATATGATCAATATCCATGGCATAGTTCTACAGAAGAAGTCGTTTATAGCAATATAGCCAAATTGCCCCCTTTTGGCCCCTCAGCCCCCTGGGGGGTCAGCCCCACCATTTGTACAATTTTGAATCCCCACCACCTAGGGATGCTTCCAGTCAAATTTAGTTGAATTTCAATCATTGGTTAAGAAGAAGAGGTTGTTTAAAGAAAATGTTGACAGACACAACGGTATGGCATAAGCTCACAGGTGAGCTAATTATAATAAATGCAGCAAATTAATTACCACAAGCATATGTAAAAATTGGCAAATCTTGTTATGAGAATTTGATTGTGATGAGTTGGAGAAAAACACATCAATGTCTTTGACAGTAGTTTGGTCATGGTGCTCATGCAGTGCCAACGGTTTTGTTTACAAAGGGACTGGGTTTTCCTTTTCAGAAAGCACATTCATCAGTAGCCTTACACTGTGTCTAGATTTCAAAGATATTTTTCAGGGGCAAGGAAGGGGTTGGGTCTTGTCTTGGGGGCCAGATAGGAATGGATTCATGTCCTGGGGATGAGTTAGGAATGGGGCCATGTCTTTGGGATCAGATAGGGATGAAGCTATATATCCTAGGTGCCAAAGAAGGTTAGAGTTATGGGTGCTGCTAGAAAAGCAAGTAATGTAGCCCTTCGAGGAGACATGGGTTGGAATTCATGTGAAGTTAACCAATTAACTGAAGTTTTTAGACTATATTTTCGTATAAAGAATTGTGATGATAGCAGATTACTGCAGACAATTCATAAATGGTCATGTTCTATTAGAAAATCCTGGGACTCTCGGGTTGATAGTCTGATAGCGGAGAAAAACTTGAGTGAAGTTTTAATACATCAACGTACAAATGTATGAAGGATATTAAGAATGTCCTGAGTTTTGAAGATGATGATAAGTGGCAGTTGTCTTTGTGGGATGACACAAACAATGTAAATGGTAATAAACTGCGTACGTATAGAACTTACAAGTATGAGCCTGTCACTAGCGATTGTGTAAAATCTGTACGTACATCTCAAATGTAAAAGTGTTTTTTTATTTAACTTTAGATGTGGTTGTTTGCCCCTTGAAATTGAATAAGGTAGGCATGCCCGACCTGTGATTCCTGTCAATAATAGGTTATGTAAATTGTGCAACAATGATGTAGAAAACGAGTATCATTTTTTAATGGAATGTATATTTTATGATGATCTTAGATCTGTAATTTTAACAAAAGCAAACAATGTATATGAATTTTTCAATGATATGAACAAATTTGAACAGTTCAGATATGTGATGTGTGAACCAGTTCTCCAAAAGACACTAGCTACCCAACTTTCTCTTATGTGGAGGAGAAGAACTATGTTTCTCCCATACTAAATTATGTATTATAATTAGATGTGCAGGTATGGGGTGGGGGATATATAATTTGTCGGTAGGGATAGGCCCAACCACTCTTGTATATCTCTTACCCTGTTGGGGTACACGGTATTATATATATATGCAAATTATAGTCCTGCTACAAATAAAATTTTATCAAGCACAATTGTTTTTACAAAGACTGGTTAATAACATTACATGTCTGAAGATAGTAAATAGTGTGATTGCTCTAATATAATTATAACGTGTCTAATAAGTCATTTTGGCTGTGATTTTATGAATACTATGTTTTTGACACGAAAATAAAATATTTGAACCTTTAACCTTTGAACCTTGTCCTAGGGTCCAGAGAAGGGTTTATATCCTGGGGGCAATTAGGGATTCATTTATAGGCTTGTGGTGGGACAGGGATTGGGTCATGTTCTGGACGCAAGGTAAGGATGGGGGCCATGCCCTGGCCATGGAGGCGAGGTAGGGATGGGTCATTTCCTCCTTATTGAGAGATTTTGTTGAAGTATAGTTTTTTCTACTTCTTTTGTTCTCAAAAAAAATTGGGACCAAATTTCTTCACCTGTTGATATGTAGGTGTATAAATTACTTTGTCTGTTTGTCCTTATAGTGAAAAGCTTGTGTCCAACATATACCTATATATTCTTCCTATTTTAACAGTTTTTCTTCGTCCTGCGTAAAAAGAACCAACAGATATCCTTTCTACACGTATACCATCACTCTACCATGCCTCTACTCTGGTGGATTGGAGTCAAATTTGTACCTGGAGGGGAATGTAAGTTTGTACTCAAGACAACACTATTGGGTGAGATTGTACAATTTAGACATTCTGTTTTTCAAAACAAGACTGAATTTGTGATTAATAGGATATTTTGATACATGTATAGAGCTTGAGTATTGAGTTTAGAAATGTTTCAAAGAAAAATCTATTACTCTTTTTTCCATCAGATTTCAAATGCAACCAATATTTTTTTTAATATCGGATTGTATCTGTTTAACTGACTGAGGCAATGTTGCCGCTGGCAAATCATACCACCTCAAGAACAGACGAATTATTCTACAAGCTTGCCCTGAGGGTCTTTTGTGATCTTGTAATTTGAGGTATACGGTACCTATGGTATGCCTTACTATGTTCTACTCTTTTGAAATGTGGTATTAGTTTGCATATAAATAATCTAGACATTTTGCTATATTTAGTGTTGCATTTGTATATAGTCTGTGTCATGTTTTACCAAAATTTTGGTTCAGTGGGTGGAGAAAAAAAGTAAAATCATTATACAAGTATGTTGGATATGGATTTCTACCACCGGGTGGAAAATTTGGTGTCAGAACCTCGGCAAAGACTCGGTTTTTACCGAAATTCTACACCCTCCTGTAAAATATCTGTATCTGACAAACCTACATTGACTCTTTTATTAATCTTCAAAGGACAAGTTACACCTGAAACCAATCAAATAGCTTACTACTAACCTCTGAATTTGTCTGGCACATTCCAAGTATGCTAAAAAGATATTTCTATCCCTTGCATTTCACCCCTGAAATTTCATAATTAACTATTCCAACCTTTGAATTGGAGGAGTTCAAATGTGTTTTCAGGGGTGTACTCATTAAATAACATTACACATGTACATGATGTATTCATAATATGCATAGTTTCTCTGAAAAAGAAGTAAATACAACTATCATGTATTTTAACATTTAGAAATTATTTAGATAATTAATTTATTAATAGCCACAATGTTTATGTAATTGCTCATTTACATTTACACAGCTTACCTGTCTGGGAGTATCAACAGTTTTATCCACATCCTAATGTATACCTACTACTTCCTGGCCGCCATGGGGCCTCACATGCAGAAGTTTCTGTGGTGGAAGCGATATATGACAGCTCTACAGCTGGTAAGTGTGTTTCAGGTATAGAATGTGAGCTGATCTGGGGAATTTCTGGGTCTATTTTAGAGGGTATCAATAAAATCTCTAACCTGTAATATAGCAAGATTGGGTAATCTCAATCAAGGGCTAAGATTCTGTAACATAATCCCAACCGAGGCATAAGCTGAGGTTGGGATGTTACAGAATCTCGTCCAAGAATGAGATCACCCTATCTCCTTAAGTTACAGGTAAAAGCAAAATTCTCAGACCATCCAGTTAAAAAACCTCTTCAATTTCACCAGAGTCTAAAAGTATCCCATCAGTGGCCTCATATCATTTGGACTCTTCATTGCTAAAGCTACAATTGAATGCTTCCACGTAAAAATGTAGTCCATCCTTACAAAGAAGGAAATGTATTCCACAGTGTAGATCATATTTTATCTACAAAATTAGGAATCTAACAGCATCAAAACAGTACATATAATGACCAAATAGAATATTTATAATGAGGATTGTCATCATCAGGATGTTTGAAAGCATAAGCAGGTGGATGAATACATCGCTGCGTGAAAATTCTGCAAAATGTCACGTAAAGGTGCCAGACAGATTGAACAAGAAAGAAAAAATCTAGCACAGTGTATCACAAGAGATATCCCTATCTAAGGTGGGAGAAACACCTATCAATCCATTAGCATTGGTGTTAAATACTCAAAGGTATTCAATAGAGTAAAATCACCACCAAAGGTTAAAACCCAAAAAGAAAGAATAGAAAGTTTGAGAATCAACTTCTTATTTACAGTTTACATATTTTGGCTAGCTAGGCACAGTTTCAGCAGAATTAAAATGAGCACCGCAAGTGAAGCATAATACGCCCGCAACAAGTTGGTGGAAGTTGGTGGAATGTGTATCTGTGCAAAGTAGATACATGCACATGTGTAGTTTGCTCTTTGGCTTGTTTTTATCCTGTGGGACAAGTTGCGGGCACAAACTTCACACTACAAGAAAGTGTTATGCCAAGGGGAAAAAAAAAATAACTAGGGAAGGGCCATAACTCTTGTAAAAATTGACACAGGATCAAGATTTGTTGCTATGCAAATCTTTATAGGATAAGGTATGACACATGCGAAGTTGTATATCATTTGTTTAAAAACTGCAGGACACAAGAAAGTGTAAATGGACAGACAAACAGACAGGCAGACGGGATCATGATAGCATTATATGCTCTGTTTCACAAGCATATGAAAATAACGTGTAATACTCGGATTACTTTTGGATATTATGAGTATATGCATGATATTATGTTAAGTACTGACCAATTCCCAAACTTGTTTTTACGTAACAGATACAGTTCTGGTGGATCTTCGGTCACGCACTGTATTCGCTCTATTTGAGCTGCGGCTATCCTAACGGGTACAACGTGGCTTTGATCTGCTATGTCATGTCCCACATCCTTCTCTTCTCCAACTTTTACTACCGAACCTACACCAAGAAGGCACAGTCCGGCAAGGTCAAGGCCCGCAAGGATGGGGCCCCCGACAGGGTCATCAAAGGGGCACATAACGGGGTATCTAACGGAAATATTAACAGGTGAGAGAATTTTACAATGGTCTTTATTTCTACCATAATTAGGTCATCATTTGAACACCCAATGGGATGTTCAATAGAAATACCAACAAGGGTTACAGTTTTACATACCGGTATGTTTTTATTAAAAATGTTAATTTAGGGATATGATGATAAAGAAGAAAATTCATATCTTACCGCTGATATTTGCGTGTAACAAACTTAAATACTTAATCTGACAGTTTTGCCAACAGTCGGTCACCTATCTAAAGAATAGAATTAGTGGTCAGATAAGCAATGATATCAGACAAACTTTATGTAGCAAGTAAGGGAGGGGGGGGGGGGGCTGAATTGAAAGGAAAAGAACCATTTATGAAGTAATATGATGTATTTATAATATAATGCATGTAATCATTATGTCTTGTACTTCTATTTCCATTTTATCCTTTATTCCAACTCCAATAAATTTGAACTGTTTAATAATATATACATTCAAAGTCATAAAGTTGAAGGAACAATAGGATTCATAACATATACTTCTCTCGCAAAGATGTGTTTTGTCAAAATTATGAGGGAATTAATATTGGTTTTTCTTTTGTATTGCAGTAAACATGATGAGAATTGAGGACCTTGAACTGTACTACTGGTATTGTGTGAATTTATTTATTGTGAGAAATATCTGTCCTAAGTGAGTAGTTAATGTTTTGTGTGAGATGCACTTGTTCTTTGTGAGAATTGCCTGATGGCACGTGTGAGATGTTACCAGTTCTGTGTGAGATGTACCAGTTTTGTGTGAGATGTACCAGTTTTTGTGAGATGTACCAATTTTGTGTGAGATGTACCAGTTTTGTGTGAGATGTACCAGTTATGTGTGAGGTGAACCAGTTTTTGTGAGATGTACCAATTTTGTGAGATTTGCCAGTTCTATGTGAGATGTACCAGTTCTTTGTGAGATGTTACCAGTTCTGTGTGAGATATACCAGTTCTGTGTGAGATTTACCAGTTCTGTGTGATATGTACAAGTTTTGTGTTAGATTTACCAGTTCTTTGTGAGATGTTACCAGTTCTGTGTGAGATGTTACCAGTTCTGTGTGAGATATACCAGTTCTGTGTGAGAATACCTTTCCTTGGGATTGGACTATCAGAAATTTGCTTGTTATTTGTATTACATTTATAGGGTGATACCAACATGAAGATTAATAGAATCCTTCACCCCTTTGGGGCTGAGATAGGGGAATCTCAACCTGACGGGGAAGATTCTTAAGTTGCTAAACACAAGGCTCTGCAGAATGTTTGGCAACTCAAGATTTTTTTCCCTGAGGCTTTAGGTTCCCAATGTTACCACAATGGGGCGAATGATTCTTTTTCTCTTATCCAGTTCTCCATATCATGTACATACTGCAGTGTTAACATAACAGGCTAAATTAAGGGTTGACGTGACGTTGATGGGTTGTTGACGTGACGTCATACCATTGTTATGAATAGGGGAATCCCCCGTCTCAACCCTAGAGTGAGACACCGGTAAAAGTGTGGATACACCTGTCCAGGGTGATAGAAAACCTTTTCAACTACGGGTATATATATCATAAAATTATACTGCACAACATAAATTTTGGCTGTAGAACCTGAAATTTAATGGTTTACAATTTAGAATTTGGTGCCTTATAAGGTCAATAAACACATTATATGCTCTATATTAGTGCACAATACGTGATGGATGGCATCTTAAAAACATATGGTTTACCAAGAAATTTTCGCAGCAGTTACATTTTTGCCTTTTTCACCCTCCCCAATATAGGGTGAATTTATTATGAAAGCAAATATTTGAAACACAACATCCAATATGTAGTTATTTTAAATTTGAAGGGTGAAATTAACATGCATTTCATCGCCAAAAGATGAATATTCGACCGGGCGAAAGTTTTCCCGTCATTTTTGCTGCATGAGTTATGATTCAACATATTGTTGTTTTATTTGAGATTATGACCGGGTGTGCATTTAGTTAGCTAGTATAAAAGAAACTGCTCATCTCACCTACTCTTAACCAGAATGTTAATGTTTCTCTCTTCATTTTGACTCATGGTTGCCATGCAACTATAATGATAACAATATACAATGTATATCATGTCTGAAGCTGCTCAATGTTAGTTAGAAAGAGAATGAAGTTTGAAATTTTTGACCACATTTTATTCAACAGTTAAACTTTGTCAATTTAAATTTTGACAATCTAGATGTGGACCAGCCAAAATGCCAAAGTAAACCTTCTATAAAATCTCCCATAATACGTTATCAGGTTTGAATTAGTGTGGGTCAGCCAATCAGATTGTGTTTTCATGCACATGTCTAAATATTTCAAAGTTATGCTGATATTAAGATAACTGTCAAGTGCCTAGAACCATTTAATTTTTTTGTAGTATTCACCAAAGTATAAACAGCTTTTTTCGGCTTTCATGATCACTAAGTCGTCGAGCAAACCAAGCTGCCCTGCCGTTCAAAGTTCAGGGGTTCGTATACTATGAGATATGACAGTAAAACAATGTGCCTTACCGTTATAGAAAGTCTGCAAGCCCCAAAACCAAGCTGCCCTGCCGATCAAAGTTCAGGGGTTTGTATACTATGAGATATGACAGGGAAACAATGTGCCTTAACATTATAGAAATTCTGTGAACCCCAAAGCCAATCTTACATGTGTCAGAGCTTATAAAAAGGCTCCAAATTAATCCAGATCACTTCAAGTACTTGTGTCGTTAACACAGTTGAAGTGAAATTTGATCCACCTGTTTTTGTTAGTTTGTGCATAAAAGCTCTGTGAGTACGTGTACAGGAAACTGATGAATAGTGTACTCTTATTCAGCCTTCGAGCCATCATTTATTGGAGGGGAAGCATTTTATCTGAAAGGTGAACAGTTTTTAAAAATCTGTTTAAAAATACAAATTTCAGTCTCCAAGCACTTATTGCAGAAGAACCATTTAATCGGAAAGGTGAACAGTTTTTGAAATTCTGTCTAAAAATATAAATTGAAAGTGAAAGAAAATGGTATCAGTGACCTTATAATTAATATGTGTTTAATGACATTGCAAGAACTCTCTGAACTGCTGTCGTGTTATATGTTTCTCGGTTGCTGTTTTTTTATATTTTTTCTTCGATGTGACTTATCTTTTTAACAGTTAAAGACAGGTTCAATATGTTTTTGATACGTGTATTTTTATAAGCATTTTCATCAATATTTTCATGTTATGAATTAAAATCACCTTACTAAAATATGGGTGTGAACTGAACAGGGACCATGAGATTTCTATGCATGGATACAGGAAGATTCCAGCTCACATTTGTAGTATATATATATAAGTAGGTAGTATTTGCCTAAGCATCTATATATGGACAACAAATACACATTTTCGTACAGTGTAGCTATATTTATATTCATGTTGATTGAATTGAATCAATGATCAATCAATGGTGTCATTTTTGAAAAAATCCCAACCTTTTTGATGATGGAAAAAAACCTAACAGAACTATTTTGTTCTTTCCAATAGAAAAATATTGCCAGAACTGATTGAGTCTTTTAATTTAATTGATGTGTTTTTCAGGTGCAACGCATGTGTAAACAGAATGTTATAAAAGCACGCCATTGTTTAACACATGCATGGCTAGTACATATAAACTATCAATTAATCTGATACTCTCCCTGTGCCTTTCTGAGTTTGATATTCCTATTTCTAGTCTTAAAGTATAACAGCTCACTTCCAGTAAATGGGAAAAAAGTGCAATTTGTAAGATTTTAGAATCATGGTTTTTACCTAATAAATATTTGTGTAATAATCTTCATATTTTATATATATATCTTAAATAAAAATATAAGATATATATATGAAAATGCCTTATAGTCAATATCATAAACAATACTTAATATATATGTACTTTTATAAACAAATGTCAAAATCAATTTGCATTTGTAGATACTCTCTGTGGGAAAATGTGGTAGGCAAAAATGGAAAATTCTACATATAAATGAATCAAGGAATGTGACATTTCTGGGTAATGAAGGTAAACTATTAAAGATGGCCTAGAAAAAATTCAAAACTTTTCAAAGAGTAGGATATTTTTTAATACAAACAGATCTGTAACCATAGTGACTAATATGTCCTTCTGAGATAGCCAGATAAGCAATAAATATACTACTGTATATTACAGTAAGGTCTGTCACCATAGCAACCAAATGTCTTTCCGAGACATAATAAAAGCTGTAAATATAAATAGTATACTTATGTTACAGATGAGGTCTGTTAGCATAGCAACCATTATCTCCCTTTGCGAAAGACATAAGCTATTACATAATGTAAAAGAAAGTTTGGTTGATTGTTTTTAACATGATTGTGTAGTATTTATTAATGTCACTGTACCCAAATTGGGACAGTACCCAATAACGGGACACTTGTGGGAAAACGGCCCAAGAAACTGTCATGCAATGCAAAGAAGTAATTTTATGTATGCAGGTTTCATTTGATAAAACTTTTACGACAATTTGACTGTATAAAAGCTTTATTGGCTGCTGATTATCGTTACATGGACAATTTAAAGGTAAGAATAATTACCAAAACAAAACTTTCCTGATTTATGTGCCCTGCGATGCTATTTATTTCAATATCATTTTCAAAAGTCTATTTTATCAAAACTTATGCTAGTTTGGAGAAGATATTTAATCAGAAGCTTCGTTGACTCTAAAATACTTCAACTATGCATATTTTTCTGCCGATATTGATCGTTGCCGGTTCAAGCCTGATAGTATTTTGCATTCTATTTATAGAATCACGTGCCCGAAATATCAACTTGTAATAAAAATGAAAGGGGATACATGTAGTAACTATTTATGAAAAAGGAACAAACCTTTGATATTTATCTAAAAAGTGTCCCAATTTGGGTACATTATTGACATTACTTAATTATGATGTGTTAGAAAAAGTAATATTGCCATAAACCACACCTCCGTTTCCCATGGAAGTGAAATTTGGAGTAATATTTTACTACAATATCATATTGACAACATATCTGAACTTTGAATTTTTAGTCCCTATTCAAGATGTTTAAAGTTCAATGCTGTGATTATTTAATTTATTTTCTTTGATTACATATCAGGTATATGCTATATTTTGTACATCTTTTTGATGACTGTTCTTATTTTATTCACCGATATAATTTTTCTCTCTGTTTGTCTTTTTTGCAATAATATTCTAATGTAATATCCATCCAAACATTGGTGACGATTCGCCGAATTGATTTATTTTTATTTTTTAACAAGCTGTTTTATTTTAAATAGCTGAACATGCATGTGCAGTTTGAACACATTTACTGCTTGACATTTGATGTAACTGAGGGCAGATCTAAGCCTTCACCTTGTGTGGAACCCAAATTTTGTTTAACCTTATCTCAGATGCACTTCCTGTGAAATCCATTAACTTCCATGAGAGATATATTTTCATCAATTTTTTTCGGCACCTAATTTATCATATGTGTAGATAATTTATCAAGTGTGACTATAATGAAATATATACCAGGCACTTGAGATTAACAAAATGTCTGCCCCCATCCAAGAACAGTCAAACCTATGTTAAGAGACCATCCATGGGAAGTCCAAAAAAAAGTGGTCTCTTTATGCAGGTGGTGTCTTAATACAGGCTCGAAAACAATGAAATCACTACCATTGGACATAACAAGTGGTCAATTAACACAGGTGGTCTCTTAATACAGGCTCTATACAGAGAAATCACTATCGGGACATTACAGGTGGTCCCTTCACACAGGTGGTCTCTTAATACAGGTTTAATAAATAATGAAATCACTACTATGGGGATTACAGGTGGTGCCTTCTACTATGGGGATTACAGGTAGTCCCTTCACACAGGTGGTCTGGTTTGACTGAATTTACCTTGGGAAAGTGTCCATACTGCTCAGTGCTTGAAATATCTATTTTACCATACTTTTTTGTTTCCAAAGATTATTTAAAAGTTTACATATGACATACATTTTTCTACTTTTCATAACCTTCCTATGTTTCTTGCATAATATCTATCAAACATATTGTGATCATTTAATGTGTTAGTCAAGTTTGTTATTCATTGTGATGATACTGTTTTTATTTAGATAGCTATACATACACGTGTTCCATGGATATATTACCTCATTCCCCCCTGAAGACACATTTGAACTCTTCCAA